AACGGTCTCATATTAAATAACCTTATCTAATATAACACACAGCCATACAGTATTATTAACTGTGCGAGTACCAAACACGTGTAATTCTAATGACGCAATGTCAATAGGAAGTTATATACAGCGGTAAAGAAATTCTCAGTTCCAGTTGAGAATTCATCAAAGTTTTCTGTGTAAATATTCTATTTACTGTTGACGCCATAAATAGTAATGACGACTGCAAGCAAAGCAATATTATAACATGTATTAATGATTGAGAGGAGTACTTAGGAACAACCCACATCAACCAGTATTGCTTGCTAGCCAAATCGAAGTGATATCAATACCTGAGTACCAATTTGCTGTTTCGGTGCAGGGCCAATTTGCCTACTAATCTTATAATTTCACACCCTTTCCAAGTTCCATACATCCTTTGAATTATTCTATATATGATAATAATTGTTTTGCCACTTGAGATTTAACTATGACGATAATCACAAATATTTTAATTGCATTTCATACTACTTTTATTATCTAGTGTATTCACACCTACGATTCAATTCCCTTAGCGGATATAACTTCTTAAAAACTATATATACGATTGTACACAGCCGACATCAGTTGTGTACATGATATTAATTACATTCAATCATGCGAATGAGTAATGTAACAAATAGTTTGAACTCAAGTTACACAGTGTGTCATCCTGAAATGAATCACAAAGAAAGATATTTGCATCACATTGGCAACTCCCATAATTTACTGATCTCACTGTAAGCCTGATTAACAGAATCCATTGGGTACTTAGATCCCTGCATTATGAACCACCTAATAATCTACTGCTCAACTAACCCACAAATATACCGAGAGAACAGCAATTAGATCAGATACAAGCTAAGGTGACCGTTGAATGACATTGCGGAATAGGCAGTTACTCGAGTGTAACCCATATGAGAAACGACATATTGGCCATTGGTTCGAGTATGACACTGAGGAAATCTTGTGAGCAAGAGATGAAAGTTCAGAAGCAATCATGATGCCAGATAAATTGAAGAGAACATGATAAAACACAGACGCTCTGTTGAAGCTCTATGTTCCACTCAAAATTCAAGGGATTATTAGGTTCATCAGAATTGTTTACTTCACTACACTGAGTATCAGTATGATTAGTTATCAGAAATTTGGACCTCTATTTCATTTGTTATTTAACCTATGCATAAGATGTTGCTTCTTTTATTTCAATACTTGCCTAACCTTGATTTTTGATTTAGATCTTCATGAGAAGTCGATGGATGTTCATAATGTTAGCTTGAACTGGTTTTATTTTTGTGTGAAGTTTTACTCACACTGTTCTGTTTATTTGTTGATTCACCTACACAGAATACTTCATTGTCTGTATAAGTAATAATGTAGAATATTTATCATTTTAAGGAATAAGCGTGTGCACAGGTTGATTACGTAACAGACTGTTAAAGAAAATAAAACAATTTGGACAATGATAACTTGTAACTAAATTTGAAATGGTCATAAGAATAAAATAATTTTTACAAGGATAACACGTGATTAAAGATGAAGTAGTCAGAAAAATAAAATAATTTGGATAATTATAGTTTTTATAGTTTTTTAAAAAGAAAAAATATTTTAGGGGGAGGGGGATGCAGTAGTCCGGTTTATAGAATCATGTAACGATGGCCAAGGTAAGGAAAGTGGCTGTACAAATTTCTTCTGAACACACAGGTTCGGCTGGCTTCTTCCACAGGTGGATTCCTATTGCTTCAACTGTATGTAGAAGACGAACTCGTAGAGCAAAATTAAGATTAGTATGAATGCCATAGATAATTTTAAATGCAGTAATAACGTCAACCTTATGCTCACTATCTACAAGGTGGGCTAAAATATGGCTACGAACAGATCTTGTTTGTCCCCTGCTTAACCATATTGGATGATGTTCGGAAATACGATGATAAACCAAACGGTTGATACACACAATAGTAATATGGATAAACTACCTAAATTCGCCTCTTCTTTATGTATCTACCGCTTTGACTGCAGCTGCGGAGCCAGCTACATCGGGCGAACAATTAGGCAGGTTTATCATCGTATTTCCGAACATCATCCAATATGGTTAAGCAGGGGACAAACAAGATCTGTTCGTAGCCATATTTTAGCCCACCTTGTAGATAGTGAGCATAAGGTTGACGTTATTACTGCATTTAAAATTATCTATGGCATTCGTACTAATCTTAATTTTGCTCTACGAGTTCGTCTTCTACATACAGTTGAAGCAATAGGAATCCACCTGTGGAAGAAGCCAGCCGAACCTGTGTGTTCAGAAGAAATTTGTACAGCCACTTTCCTTACCTTGGCCATCGTTACATGATTCTATAAACCGGACTACTGCATCCCCCTCCCCCTAAAATATTTTTTCTTTTTAAAAAACTATAAAAACTATAATTATCCAAATTATTTTATTTTTCTGACTACTTCATCTTTAATCACGTGTTATCCTTGTAAAAATTATTTTATTCTTATGACCATTTCAAATTTAGTTACAAGTTATCATTGTCCAAATTGTTTTATTTTCTTTAACAGTCTGTTACGTAATCAACCTGTGCACACGCTTATTCCTTAATTGCTCTTGATTTTTCCTAAATTATTTGTCATTTTTACGAAGACCTTATTTTTCTGTTTTCAACAGTTCACAGAAGCCATGTCAGTTGAAAAGACAATTATATTTGATCTTCAGCTAGGCCTTAACTTTCAGTTAGGAAAGTGCTAATTAGTTAGTACACAGGATACTGAATTGAATCTATATTCAAATTAGTCCTTAAATTTGGCAAGTTATATAACTTTTCATACATTTATTCCCTTAATGAATTTAAACAAACGAAGAACCACAATTTTTGCTGAATAAAGTGGTACCATCTTTTATTCGGTTGCCTTCTCGTCAGCTGCATACAGGCCAAAGACATTATTAAATTATATATTACATACTTGCACAGAGTTCATTTTAAACAAAAATCAATCGACCAATATATGCATGCAGCAATTATATATACATATATATATAACACGAAAGACTATTCCGAACAATAAAAATCACAATAGAAACTTTCAGCATTTCGCATTCGGATGAAAAAGAGAGATGAAAATATCCAATTACAAGGTTGGCAAACAAAGACTGATAAATGCTTCTATCTGAACGCATAAATGAGGTTTCAGGCGCTTGATGGAAATGGCTTCAGCGAACTTGAGGAGAATTGAGCTCTTTTGCCTATTGATACTTTTTAACGATTTTACGACGTCCACCTTATGACCCGTGTCAAGGAAATGCCTGGCGATGGCACTGTTTAAAACATTTTTTCCCTCTAAACATGTTCAAGAAATCGTAGATATGTCCTACTTTCTGTTCTTCCAATGTAACTGCTCCCCAGATACATGTAAATTTGTATGTACAGTTGGAGTTAACATGACGAGGACACATATAGATTTTGATTGCACCAAAGGGCAAGTTGTTCGATAGACGGGAACCAGCTTAGTTTCGGGATAGGCTCTAACTAGTGACGTACTCAGTCTTCTGTTAACCATTACTGCAATGTTTTCACCTTTAAAATCAAGCTGTATGTAGACTGGCTTTTTTACCTACTGTGATTTGTTTTACATTTGTGACTTCAGATCTTCCATACTTCTTGATGAACCTTTGAAGGTAACCATTGCTCTTCAACATCTTTTCAAGAAACTCAAATTCTTCCTCTAATCTCTCTTATAGAGCATATTCTTCTCGTTTTTTAGTACAGAGTCTTGACTATTTGAACAAAAGCTATTAAAATGTAAGTATTGTCCCTTTCAAGTAGGCTTTCAATAAACTGACTTCTGAAGACCACCGTCTTCTAGGCGTTGCATGGCAGTGTTAAGGAGGTGGAACTTTCCGTCACTTTTATGTTTCATAGTAAACTCAATATGCTGTGTGCATCATAACTTTTAGTGGATTTACACATTTCTCATAATTTAAACTGGAGTACTAAAACCATCTTTCTTAAGAACAACTATCATTGTATTATTTTAGAACTGTTTTTTGAGGTAAATATTCTTGAATTTAGAGCTCCACCCCGACCCACCCCCAGCCAAACAAGCCGGATTTAGGAAAAACAAACTGTGTGCTGATCGAATCTCAACGCTACACAGCATAATCGAACAGAGCATTGCAGAGAAATCAATCTCTACCTCGACTTCATTGACCATGAAAAAACTTTCGATTGCGCTGACGGCGATGTGGTTTGAAAACTAATTCAACACTATGGGGTGGAGGGAGTACTGCGAACCTCTGTCGACCTTATTCACTCTCTATACTCAGTGTGAAGTAAAAGACTAAGATTTTCAACACTAGTGTCAACTCAATGCTTCAAAAAATTTCAAATAGACTTCTGAAAACTGTTATCGATAACTTCCTCCGATGACTCCATACTGGAGATCAAATAGCTAAGCGGAAAGGATGGACAACAAGGAACTCTGGGTACGAACCAATCAAGAATGTACTGCTCGTTCAGTATTTCAAGGAAAATGGAGATGGGTAGGACATGCTGAGGAGATTATTGAGTGACATCACCTGTCAGGCAATCACTCAAGTGGAAGCTGAATGGGCAAAGGTGGTTTGAGCATCCAAGGGTGATACAAAGGAGATGAACACTTATAGGTAGTCGTGGAGTCACTTAAGGAGGACTGTGGAAGACAGAATCAAATGGAGATGCATTATAGGAGGCCTCTGTTCTCTTCAGAACCTAAGGGAGTAATAATCGTAGACAACAGCTGGTGATGTGAATTGAAATGAAAACCTGTGTGGTGGTATGAGTTTAAACTACCAGCACCTAGTAATAACTAGTCCGCAAAGACTTGTAGGTAATCTGGTAGCGCCGGGCTGCTAATCAGCAAAGCCATTAGTTCGAATCTTGTCGTTCAACCACGTACAATCACTTTTAGTGGTAATTTCATAAATTTATGAAAAAAAACTATTTTGTCAGACTTACTAAACATGGTATAGTTATTTGTTTTCCTTTTGAACTAAACGTGACCGTTTCAATGCGTTCTGATGTTGATCCAGCATCCCCCTTATTCCAATACTCCAATAAGAAATCATAACCAATACAAATTTTTAGCCTTTCCATATGTTCGTGTACTTTTCTTTGAATAGTTAAACTGTCAAATGCTGGAGGCTTTTTATTTTGTTATATAAATAAATAAATAAAAATAGAGGGAATAAGAAAACTGCTAAGTCATACAATTTTTAAACCAGAAAAACAACCAAATAAAAGTGATCTTAATTTGTGGATGGTGACTAGCAGTGGAATCCTGGAATAGGCGCATTTCATCCCATGTGGGACTGATCAACTAGTGGATGTACCTCCATTTCCAAGTGGGTGATGATGTTCCCACCACCGAGGCTCGAACCCAGTGTTCATATTTTCAAACGCCAATGCGTTATCCACTAAACCACTTGGGCGACGAGAGCCACCCCTTGTGCAACGGGTCATATTGATTATTTAATTGAATTTGAGATTTTCCCGTCGATTGATTGGACCGAAGTGCTCGGCCTCAGGTAAACATCTCGGCCGACGTGTCACTTCGGGTGCAGGTACATCCAGCTGACGGACGACTTTCACATAGGACGAAATGCGTGTCATCCTGGGTTCCACTGCTAGTCACCATCCACCACTTAAATTCTTATTACATGCCCAGACATCGTTGAAACATCTGCACAAAAGGCCGAAATGTCAACCTGAGACCGAGTAATTCGGTCCAATCAGTCGACGGAGAAATCTAAAATTCAGTTAAATATTTATGATATAATTAGACAAGGGTGAGGAAGCAGAGTTCAGATTTCGCACAGAAGCAAGGATACATTAGAGACTAACTACTATTGTGTGTAAATATCCCCTACATAGGGTTCACCATATGTATTTTCACACTCTATTCTCAACGCACATGATCGTAACTCAGACTAAACTTCTGACAACCTACACCAGCATCGTCAGGTGTGTATTATGCCTTTAGTTTAAAGGGAAATACTTTCGTGTTTGTTATGATTTTGGATGACGTAATACCTTGTGTTTTAGATATCAACAAAGTGGTGAAATGAGTAACTATAGCTAAGTTCAAACCAGCATTTCCCACTTAGTCGGTCCAAGTCATGATAATGACTCAAACAATTTTGCTATCGTTACCTTAATTGATCAAGTGATATAAAAATATGATCTCCCTGTGTTTAAATTAGGGATGTATATAATGTCTGGAGAATGCCTTTCATGCTTTCTCTAGATTTCAATAGCTTTAAGGCTTTTATTTATATTTAATTAAACATTCTCAGGTCGTTTGTTCTGCACCATGATGGCATATTTATTAGACAGTTGTCTTTCAACGGATGATAATTCGCACGACTTCCTTTGCAATAATAATAAATAATAATAATAATAGAATCACTGAGGTTCTGGTGAGGCGTTGAAGAACACTCTGTAGTGTACCTTGGACCTTTGAATTTTCGTTTTAACGCATTCTCCTACTTTTGGCGCCACATTATCTTGTGATTTCCGACGTATTTAGCTTTATCAGATATGTAATACGTATAGGCTCTAAGTTTAGTCACAAAATCATCTAAACTGAGCTATATATTCATATTGTGATTAATCATTATGCTAAAACTAATGCTATTGATAAGGATTTGTTAGTAGTACGCCGCGAAACGTCTTCAGAGAGAATCTTCAATAGCGGATTGATGGATGAAATTGTAAACAAGCCTGACTGTCTGGCTGACTGACTGATGGGTTTCAGCACTGAACTATGCACACAAAGCCAGCACTTCAAGACACCACACATTCCTTGTACCACAAAAAGAAAGACAAATGAGAGAAAGAAGGGACTAAAATAAACGGTAATCGGCAGAAATATGAGGAAGAAAGAATAGTAACGTAGGAAAAATGGATTTAATGGATTTGGGGGATCACAAAGAACGAATGAATAAGCGCAATTGAGAATCATTTCGACTCATATCACAACCCGTTTAAGAACATTGGTTCTTATCATATCGTGGATACCAACTATGCGGTCTGCTCCTCTCTATGTGGTTCACATTGACTGTCAAACACTCCATGGACTGATACTAGGTTTAAGCTTCTCCATGCCTAACTCTTTTTGAACGTAATCTTATGAATTAAACGTTAATCTGAACGAAGAATATTCTTTTCAATAATTTCTCTTCTTCAGGTTCTTACAATTATTAAATATAATATTTGCTGTCGTGACAATAATGGCCAGTTTTTATGGCGGATCCCATTTTTACGTATAATAACAGATTAGTTATGGGGTGTCAAAATAAATAGTCGTATTTGTGTGTGTGACAAACGTGCTCTGGGCTGAAATCGATTAAAAAATATTGTAAAATAGACAAATCTAGTATGAGTGATCACCACCATTGTCTCCCATTTTACAATATTTTGTAATCGACTTCAGCCCAGAGCACGTTTGTCACCACACAAATAGACTATTTATTTTGACACCCCATAACTATAATCTGTTATTATACGTAAAAAAGGGATCCGCCACAAAAACTGGCCATTATTGTCACGAAAATTTCTATTTTATAATTGTAAGAACGTGCACGGAGAAATTATTGGAAAGAATAATCTCCGTTCAGACTGACTTTTAATTCACAATATGGGAATATTTCACGCTTTAATCTTATGTAGGCTAACATTCCCGTCGTGGAAAACGACGGTCAGGCACGCGTAACACATGTCCTAGCCATCTAAATCAATTTACCTTCACAGCTTGATCGACTGGTTTCTCCTCCCACCTAATACTGTACGCCTAACCGTAATACTATTCACCCTACACGGGAGATTTACGATTGTGAACAAGGAAAAGAAGATAAGTTCAGGGCAATACAGAAAGAATGGCGCGAACATGGAAGAAGTGGCGTTGTAACAACAGAAGACAAGGGCCAGGCAACAGATCGTTTTATTATGAAAATCAACACGTATTTATACATATTTCACATACATTATTATAGCTTATGCAAGTAGACAAGCGCAGTTATCTGATTGGTTGTTTATCAGAAGTTAGGCAGACAAACGCAGGCTTCTGATTGGTTGTTTCGGATTCCTCGACAAATAGAGTTCTCTATCTGCGAATCATATTTTGCCACGTTAACTTTGCTGTGATTGGTTGTTGAATCAGCCTTGATATTTTTCACGGCCTGCTCTCACTACAGCGTAGCAAGACCTTTTGAACATTGGAATTTCAAAGTGAGCTTCTTTAACATTTTTTCATTTGGCTATCAAATGCCAGTCGATGTCAGTGTTTCTATTAGATTGGTTTTAGGATGGATAAGTTTCTTTATTAGCCGCGTAGTCGTGATTTATGCATGTACTGACGTAATGACCTCATAGGACAGTTTTTAAGGTTTAAATTTATGCGGATTTGTAAATATGATACACCAGGTAATTTGTTTGATAAGCGTTGTTGCAGTGTCTATCTTAATAAACTGGCGGGGTGGGAAGGTTGTTTTCAAGGATCCGTTGATTATACTGTTTCTAGTCAAGTTTGACGACAACTACAACACTATATACTCGATCATGAGAAAAAATAATAAATCAAGAAAAATACCCATTTATTCAAGTAGAAACAAATTTTTCGTTTTGTTCAGCGAAGAAATTCCCTTTCGACGACTTCATTTTCAAGCCAGCTGTATAGTTGCATTTACATTACAGAAAAAAGGGTTATTAAGTGGCACTAAATAATGCTCCTGTGGAGTTGATTATATTGGAAGTTGTAAGCATACTCTCGGAAAACGTGTAGCTGAACACTATCCGGTTTGGTTAATGAAAGGCGAACGAACGTAGAACTGCAAAGTCGTCTATTTGTGATCACCTGTTAGAGACTGTCCATTTAGGCCCTACGTGATGCATCCTTCAAGGTTATCTACACGGCAAAATCGAATCGCTCTAAAATTTTACGTTTTCTTCACTTATGCATAGCTAGCCGAAGCTTTAGCTATACATGAACAGAAACCTAAATTATGTGTTCAAAAGCATTTTGTCAAACCCCTTTCTTTACCTTGGTCATAATAATGTTCTTTCTAGTCTGTATTTTATTTTATTTTACCACTTGAATACATTCCACTTCACTTCACATCTTTATTCTTATCGTAATCGTACTCCTAATTTTTAAAAACGTTTTAGACAACACTCGACATTTTTGATATCAATTCACTTATAAAACAATCTTTAATTATTCTGTAATCTATCTCCTTCAACTCTACCTCTTGTAACATTTTAATTATCGTTATTCTTATCACTTATATATGTATACTGACTGAGCAATTATTTTGTGCCACTCAATAACCCCGTTTTCTGTAATATAAATATGACTGTACAGCTTGTAAATAAAGTCGTTGAAAAGAAATTTCTTCTCTGAACAAAAATAACTGCATTTTTACTTATAAAAATAATAAAGCTTACATAATTTTCTATCCGTGGTGGTTGTATCATAATAATACACTTCCCGTCGACACCAGCATTTAATAGGCCATTAATGCATGTATATGCATCCACTGTGTAACCATATACAATGAGAAGATTACTAGTACTCAGCTTATTTCTATTATTATTAGCAGCAGCATTACCTTCGCCATCATCTTGTTCATCAACTTCGCCATCCTCGCTTTTATCTTCTATGGAGTTATCACCACCGAATGTATCAAATAACAATGCATTTGACTGTAGTTTTATTTCATTCTCTGAACATGTCTTAACATCCTCCTCGTCTTCCACGCCTTTGTCTCCTCTTCTTGTTTTGTCTGCATTCTCTTTGTCAACTTCTGTCATCTGATTGTCTTGTTTATGAATATCAGCACAGCTTCCCCATTCTTTACTGCTGTCGACAAGAGAGTCTTTGTCAATTGAGAATTTTCTATGCTTAGAATATTTAGCTATTTCAGCATGATACAGGGGTAGAAAGACGGTATTTATCCATTCAATGATTGGTGGGACATCATTAACATCATTAATGAGAAATAGATTATCCGGTTGTGTTGTATGCGAATGTACAACTAGTAAGAAAAGAGAAATTTAACCAATTTGATAAAAGTATATATATATATATATATATATATATATATATATATATATATATATATATATATATTCATATGATTTCAAATCCCAAATAGAACACCGAGAAACTGGTAAAGAAGACATTATGGTAAGCTATGCTGTTAACTCACGATATAGTAGTATTCCTATTAACGAAACTCTTGATATGATTTCCAGTCTACTAGAATCAGATACAACGCTATCAGGAAGATGTCCACTGGACACCGGTGAAATAATTAAGAGCTTAAAATTCTATCTAGGGAATAGTTATTTTACATTTAAAGGGAGTTTATATAGACAGACAAATGGTGTTGCTATGGGTTCAACAGTTTCCCCAATAGTCGCTGACCTTTTCATGAATAAATTCGAAAATAACATCTTTTCAAGCATACTCACTCCTAAAATATGGTTGAGATATGTAGATGATACTTTTGTAGTGCTAAAACGAGATCTACACACTTCATCCCTGGAGAAAATAAACTTTGTATCTCCCAAAATCCTGTTTACTTCGGAAGCAGAATCAGACATCGTGGACGACCATTTCTAGACTGCCTGCCTGATTAAGAGAGGGAAACGGACATTTTAGTATATCCATATTCAGGAAGAAAACCCACTCCAATAAATATTTAGACTTCAAATCATCACCCTACCAGCGCAAAGATTTCAGTTGTTTCAGGTCTTCTTAGACGAGCACACTCCTGATAACGGATGAGAAAGAAAAAGAAGAAGAAATATCAAACATTATTGAAACTCTCAAGCAAAACAAGGAATACCCAAGGAACTTCACCAACAAAATCAAAAGGGACATTAAGTATGGCCGAAAACGCATTCCGAAAACATGGACATCAGCAGTCGTCATTCCATATAGAGCAGAGACGTCAGACGATATCAGAAGAGTACTCAATCAGCTCGACATTAGAGTTTTATTCAAGACATCAGACACACTACGAAACAACCATGTCCATATAAAAGATCAAATCACCATAGATTCTCTATCTCATTGTGTCTATAAAATAAAATGCTTGGAATGTGATGTGATCTACATCGGACACCGTAGAGCATCTGTTCGACCACTGAGAAATCCAGCTGAAGTAGAAAAGCTTGAAAAATCATCAGCAATAGCTTGTCTACACTCTATAGAATCAGGCTACAAAACTGATTTCGACAGAATTGAAATCTGCTGTTTCATCCTAGTTTGAGAATCATCGGCGGTACGCACCCACTGGGATTCGAACCCAGGAACTTCCGGTTGAAATCATCCAGAAAAATTTCAGAAAACACAAAGAACGTCTAATATCAGAAGCACTTCATATCAAGTGGAAACCAAATTGCCTGAATAGGAATGATGCACTGATATGTATCCATATAATATGTGTGTTTGTTTGACAGTCTGTTATATTTTGATATGTATATATGGATCGATATTCCATTATAATTAGCCAATCATGTTAAGACTGTCTATTAATTTGTTCATTTTGAATATTCCCTCACACACTTGTGCTAACACACTTGTTCGGACATTCATATTTTGCTCGCACACACTTGTGTGACATTGATTCTCCTTGTGTTTGGAAAATAGAAGTATCATCGCAAACCTAGTGGTCTTCTGATTTCCGTCTTTCTTGCGTCAGGACTATTAAATTCTCGAACAGTACATAACATGAACCCAAAGAGAATCTGACCTGGTTACAACATCTCCCTTTCCCATGAAGTGACAAAATCAATACGAATGTGATAAGCAATATCATAATATAAACACACGCTGTTTTGTAATTTTACACTTTTATCCAATCCAACAATCTACACCTGGTTCTGTTATCTTTACCAATTGACCAACTTGACAACGAAAAACGACCCCAGATTGACGAACGATGATCAAGTTAGTAAACTTTGTTTTGATACCATAGCTGATGTACTATTACCTTTTCTATTTGGTTTAGTGATCTTCATTGTTATTTTGACTTTCAATATGTCCTTTTAACTTGACCTAAGTAGTCTATTTTCTCATCTCTTAACTCTTTGTTATGTATATATGCTGAGATTTTGTAAATTCAGGTTTAATAATACTTTGATAATGCTGTTAGCATTAAATAGCGAAACGTCAGTAAAAACAATATCGTTTCCACACATTTATTCCCCTTAATGAATTTGAACAAAGCAAGAACTACAGTTTTAGCAGAATAAAATGGTACCATCTTTTATTTCGTTGCCTTCTCGTCAGCTGCTTACATGGCAAAGACATTATTAAATATATCTACAACATTCATTGGGAAATACACAAACCTTTATTATAATGAATATCATAACCCAATGCCTAAATTTTTTCAAACTGTTAAAAGTGAAGTTGGTTTGGACATATATAAAGTGAAGTAAAAATTAAAAACAATTAGTCCCTTTTATAAATTTAGATAGCGTTATCAGAAGACGGAGATTATCTGAAAAATGTGATGTATTCGCGCATACATTTCGAACAATCTGATCCCTCACACATTTACTTGTCAAGTCGATATATATGAAGAAATTAAAATTAAACAAAGTGACAAAAAAGGATTTAAGAATGATTAACACAACGTTTGGTAATCCAATCAAATAAGGATTATCAAGGTAGGTCAAGAGTAGTGATAAACTGTTTTTGAATACACAGGGGGGAGCTTAAGTTTTCAAATAGCTATAGCAAAGCGTGTTTCAATAAGCGCCTTTAGCCGTTTTTATAGATGACTTTAAAGGCTGAGTCAGCATCAATCTTATGGTTCACCTCAATTAGATGTTTAGCTATAGACGAAGTTGGTAGTCTGACACCTGAATCTATTGGTTTTCCACAATTCACTTGTTTTTCTAACCATTTTTGGATATGCTCTCCACCATCACATGCAAAGCGCGATTACTTCTCCCTATGTATATGTGACCACACACAAAAACACAAACACGGAAATTGGTAAATATTGTGGGATATGACATAATCACTTGTGCACTTTTGAGGTTTGCAGTGAAGCACAATTTTTAGCTTTTTCGATAATTACAAGCTCGGCTGCCTAATAGGTTCTACGGATGATCGAATTCTACCTTTGTCTCAAAATCCTACTGTTTATTTCCCCGTGATATGGTAATTTGATGAAAACATTTTTCTTAGGGCCCCCCCCACTGTGTTTTCAAAAACAGTTTATTATTACTCTCACCTACCTTAGTAATCCTTGTTTGATTGGATTACAAATATTGTGTTAATCATTCTTAAATCCTTTTTTATGTCACTTTGTTTAATTCAATTGCCCTTAATTTTTTCATATATATCGACTTGACAAGTAAATGTGTGAGGGATCAGATTGTTTGAAATGTATGTAGCGCAAACACCACATTGCTTTCAGATAATCTCTGTCTTCTAATAACAATATTCAAAGTAAAAATTAAAAAAAAACAACTGAAGAGAGTTTCAGTATTTCATCATGAGCTGACAGTATTTAGAGAACCATTGGAAAACCTGGGAGTACTGGACAGCTGTTTTGAAGAGAGACTAATCAAGGGTGAAATAAATATACCTAGTCGAAAAAATACAATGTGCTTTCGAAATTTGCTGTCTGTTTAAATTATTGGAATACTTAAATTTCTGTTGATCTCTTTGTATTGTTTTAACCATCGAATTGTATTTTTTTTTACCTGGATTCAAGACAGGCGAATCATGTTATGATTAAATCGCAAATCTACGCATCGTCATCAATGTTGAGAAGTGAGCTATTTTATTATTTCTATTATTAATATATAACAGTTAAATTGATGTGAACCCCCAAAACTAGGACGGAGCAGCCACTCATTGCTCCATAGTTTCTAGCAGTCCTCCAACTGATGTGTTGGATAGTGACGAAGTCTACATTTGAAACTAACCCATATTCTCAACAGAAAAAAAAACGCATGACTTGAAACTTTCTCACTTAAAAAGGTCATCTTTAGACTCTGTACGATCGTGTGTATGTTGACTAACTCAACACTTCTGTGAACAGTAAATGCATTAATCTTACTTAACCGATTGACATTTATTTATTTATTTTATTTATTTTGTATTTTTGATTACAGCCTGATTCCACACTGTATTTTTTTGGTACAAGTATGGAATTTTCGGCATGGATATCGGTGGCCCAAATTTTGCTGGCCGTCAATAGATATCAGGTGTGCGTCGGCAGGGGATAGAACCTCGGACCATGCACATGGTTGGCGAGAGTCCTAACCACTGTGCCAACGACACCAAAATTAATAATGACGACTACTCTAGAATATTCTGCGTATATGAATAATATATATATATATATATATATATATATATATATATATATATATATAAAAGTAGAGCCAGAAGAGGAAATTATTGAAAAGGATATTCTTTGCTCAATTTTTTATCCGTATAAGATTTTAGTCGAGAGTCGAGGTATGCGTCACTATCACAATCTTCATCTTTGAGCTTTCACATCTGCCTACGCCATGACTGAGTGTTTCATCAGTGCTGACAAAACTTTTATGGGGTGACTCAGCAATCATTAAAAATGATACAATCGAATAATGTTAATAAAGACTGTGACTATAAATATTTTTTTCCTTCACGTTCCCTAGTGGAATATAGAGCTTCAAGCTAGTGGCTTGAAGTTTCTGTAGCAGTGTTTATTTTTACAGGATGGGGATGCTAGCCCCATGCCCAACCTTTCCTCTTTACCAGTCGTAATGCTGGCTTAGCGAGGTAAGCGAGTGCGTCTGTGGCCGGCGATCGAACCTCGACCAAGTATATGGTCGGCGAGCGTCCTAACGGCTATGCCACCAACGCCTCATAAATATCGTAACACAACAAAAAACAGCGAACAACAAAGGAAAACAATAACCTGGAATTTTACTTGTAAATTTACGATTCATACGATATTTAGCGCTGTTATCACTGGTATCACCATAATCCTCCTCCTCTCATCATCATCAGTATCCTTGTATTTCTGAACACCAATAGTAATGCTACGTTCATTTGCTTTCACTACATCCCCTGATCCACTGGTTGGACAGATAGTATGATATTGTAATCCAGTTGTTATAATCAAATAATCGTAGGATAGCTTATCTTCCGATGAAACTGTTATTCTCTTGAATTTCCTGTAATGAATATTGTCAAATGAAGGAAAATGTAAGCAGGTGACACTTTCATAGAATGTCATTACCAGGACTTTAATAATATTAAATGGTTGCTAGGTGAAAACGATTATCCAGAAAAGTTTATTGATAAGAACGTCAATCTAAAATCAAAGCAGCTCAAGGTACCAACAGTTCTCAAAAAGACCTTATTCTTACAAATGCAGTTCTTCGGGGACAACATCAGCGAGATACTAACATAGCGCCTTACAAATGCGGTAAAAATAGCATTCAGTGCTGCTGCCGAATTACACAGTGTCTTCAAAACCACCCCTATTTTGCGTTCAAGAGTAAAAGGCAAACTGTCTAATTTCGCCTATTCCGTGTTTATCCACGAATTTAACTGCTCTTATTGAGCCAGTCAGCTGCTTAGGCCATACAATTAGGCGTGTTTACAGTCGGATTTCCGAACACCTAATAGCGTGGTTAAGTAAAGGACAAATAAAAACTATCCGCAGCGCTATTCTGTCTCATCTTGTGGATACAGAACACAAGATTGATGTTAACCAGGCTTTCAGAGTCATTTGCTGCATACCAACTGTTATGTACTCGTCGCTAAGTTATTGTTATGTACTGGTCGAGAATTTAATAGTCCTGACGCAAGAAGGCGGAAATCAGAAGACCACTAGGTTTGCGATGATACTTCTATTTCCAAACACAAGGAGAAGCAATAAGTGGTATCACACCAAAGTAAGTAAGTGTGTCACACAAGATTGTGAGAACGAAATATATATGAATGTGTGTGAACAAATCAATGGACAGTCTTAACATGAATGGCTAATTATAATGGAGTGTCGATCCAAATATACATAGCAAAATATAGCAGACATGTCAACAACCAAACATATAATATGGATATATGTCACCAAGCTACGGACTGTCAACAAACACTCATATTATATATAATATAAGGGGAATATACATTGTTAAAGGAGACAAGTTCATACAAGTGAAATGGTCACAGACTAAGAGAGCAAACAGAAAGAGAGATCAACATACACACACATATATATATATATATATAAATGGATACATATCACCAACATATCTCAACTTCACCTTAAGAGTTAGATTACTAAATACTGCTGAGGCTGTTGGAACCCATATTAGGAACGCCGAGTTTGTGCGTCCAAAAGAAGTTAGTTCAGACATTATCGTTAACTTGGCCATCTACGTTTGAATGATCCTCAATTTTTGTGGGATTTTTCTAATTTTAGTTGATATTCTAGTTGCTATTATATATTCATTATTATTATCATTATAGTTTAAGCATCTTTAATGAACTGTAATTCCATTCATCTTACTTTACAAATCGATATTATTCAAAAAACACATCAATATTGATATTGACTACTATTCTAGAATATTGTATGTATAATAAGCATAAATATAATTGTAGAGCCGGAAGAGGGAATATATCGAAAAGGATATTCTTTGCTCAATTATTTCTGTTTTGAATTGTATATTCTCCAGTTTCGAATTTATTTACGATGTATATATATATATATAAATTGAAAAGCTTACCATCGAATCCATAGGTATTAGATGGCTGAAGGCAATAGGTGAGCCTCTCAGCCTGGTAGCCACATTTCAAACTGATAGACTGGTAGAATTCAGTGTCTGCATCAGGCAAAGGACTAGACGCATGATACCCATTATTTGTTGACAGGCATTTGAATATAAGGAGAGAAATGAGTTCCTTCAAGACTAAAGATAAACTTTGATGATGAGTGTCATGAAGCAGGCAATCGAAATCGAAAGCTTCCTACCCATTACTTCCAACTAAGTAATAACAACGATTCGGAGTGCAGCGTAATGGCAAGCCATTCAGAATGGTGGTCACATTGAACACTAACTGATGGAATTTAAGTGTTGACTTGGCAGGGAGTTAACTGGTTACAGGATTAATCACAAGCTGTCCAGTACTCCCAGGTTTTCTAATGGTTCTGTAACTGATGTCAGCTCGTGAAAGAATTCAGTCTGCAGCTACCAAAAGACAAGATGTACGACACAAGTTACTGAATGCCTAGTGTTCAATTTAAGTTACACAGCAGCAGTCTATTATTTAGTAGTAGGGGTTGACACGACTGATATAATTACTCAGAAATGGCTTTAGCAGTAAAACAAATAAAAGTTATACACTACATAGTACTCAACAGCACAAAGTTAGAAATTTGATAAGATTAAAATCGTTACTGAGTAAGAATGGTCGGCCGAAAGTGCACAAAGAGAACGTACCACTACGTCCAATCTTGGATATGACAAATTACACATATCACGCTACTGCCAAATGGCTCGCAGACATCATCCTACCTATCAGAAATAATCCCTGCAAGCAAAGTGTTTCTAATTTATTTGAATTCGTCGATTCAATAAGTGCTATTAATGTATCCGGGATGAAAATGATATCCATGGATATTACGCCCCTTTTACCAATGTTCCTCTCACTGAAACTATTTGCTTTATATGCAAATTCATTGATGTTAATAATAATGCAAACATGTATGTTCCGATCCACTACTCAAAGGAACTACTATTGAGGTGCACTTTAAATGTCCGATTCAAGTTCAAAAACACGCTTTATAGACAAAGAGATGGAGTGGCAATTGGGTAACAATCAGGTCCTTTACTTGCAGACTGCCTCTTGGCAAGTTCGGAGAATAGTATGTTATGGCCTACTATCGATACTAGCAAAGATGCATGGATGATACTTTCATCATATGTGTCGACAATACCAACATCGAATTGATAACTAAAGAGTTCAACAGCTGCCATCATGCCATCCAGTTCAAATCGGAATCAGTGATGATAACTCGGAATTCCATTTTTTGGATGTTTTTCTAAAAAGGAGACCTGATGGTTCTCTTCAAAGACAGATCTACAAGAAACCAACATGGAACAGACAGTACACGAATTTTCATAGTTAGGTCACTTTGAGAATAAAGAGAAACCTGATTCACTCCATATCTGATATGTAGTCACATGATGTCTGTTTTGTTTTGACAGTCTGATATATTTGACTATGTATATATTGATCGATATTCCATTGTAATTCACAATTTGCTTTGTCTGTCCATTAACTAAATAAACAATGTATGACCTTTGTATCACATGACATCACAACCAATCAGAATCCAATGATGGTAAGAGAACTACGGTCTATCTTATTGGTTCATGTGTGTTAGTCATTTTCATACATACTCTTGCACTGTACACTTTTATACACACTTGTTCACACATTTCGTACACTACGTACCCTTCCACTCTCACACTTGTGTGACAGTCAATTTCCCTTGTTGGAGAATACAAGTATAATCGTGATCCTGGTGGTCTTCTGATTTCCCGCTTTTTGCGTCAGGACAATTAACTACTCGACGAGTACATAACAATATCCTCAAAAATAAGAAGGATATGTTCCAGTGATACAATCGATGTAGAACTGGGGCGACTCAGATAAGTCCTCATAGAGGGTGGATTTACTCCAAGATTTACTGAGAAAAACAAAGTTAAAGCAAAAGACTAAAAGATCCCAGGCAGTACCGAACAAACTGCTATTTGTGAGCGTCGAATTAAAAGGTGATACCGGAGCTGAAATTCTGAATAATCGCTTATGCATGTCACTGAGGAAAGTTTTCTTTATGGCTGAGTTACGGATCAATTCCTACATTCAATAAATGATGAATGGATGCGTGAAGGATAAACTGCCGCTTAGGGCCACCTCAATGTGTGTTTATAAATTCACCTGTTCGTGTAAAGCTAGTTATGTTGGCCGAATAAAGCGCGCGCTTTCCAAATGCATCTCTGAACATTATCCGGCATGGTTAGCAAAGGGACAATGTAAGACAATTACTAGCTCAATTCTCAAGTACTTGGTGACCTCAGGTCACGTAGCTCCACCAGAGTCATCTTTCAAGATCATCTACAAAGTGAAGCCAAATGGTACAAATGGCATCAGGTTTCGGCATTTTTGTATGGCGGAGGCGTTGGCGATTCGTCAATACAACCCCGAACTCTGTATACAGAAAATGTCTGTCCAGTCTCTTATTTTACCATGGCACTTACCTTTTCATTAGTCGTTCCCTGTGAATTTTTATTTATTTATTCTTTTTTTTGATGATTACAGCTTGGTTCCACACTGTATTTTTGGTACAAGTATGGAATTTTCAGCATGTGATGTCGGCACTCCAAATTTTGCAGGCCGACCATAGATATCAGGTGTGCGTCGGCAGGGGATCGAACCTCGGACCATGTGCATGGTCGGCGAGAATCCTAACCACTGTGCCACCGACGCACATGATGATGATAATGATTAATTTGCTTTTACTTTAATGGTTAATTCACTATTATCACTCTTATATGTTCCTTTTGTACACTTTCTCACCTTCTTCACACTTCTTAATGGACATTCAACAACCTTTATTCTCACTCCTCAATATCAATTTTAACCCTATCAAATTTTTAACCCCTTCTTCCTTTGAGTATTACGTAATTTATAACTTGTAATTTTAATTTAAAGCCACTTCTGAGTAATTATATCAATAGTGTCACCCCTGTTACTCAACAGTTGGCTACTTTACATTTCTGGTAAATATGAATATGACTGTAAGGCCTCTGAAGATGATTGCGTCGATAAAGAAAATTTTCCTCGCTGGATTTGTCTGTTATTTTCTTCAGCTAACTTTGTAATTATTATCCGTTTTCCTCCTAAACTCTATATCTTGTGTCTGACATTTGTATATCATCATGTGTTGTTTTGCGATGTGATTCTGTTTGAGTGGGTCAAGGTGATTCTGACCTTGGACAGTTTGTTTGATTTGTTTGGTATGTGATTCTTACGGACAGAACTATAAACTTTATAACAAATAACCATCTTTTTACTGTTTTGGAAACATTTTTTGACTCTGTGTATGTGCGCGTGTCTCAAGGAAGGAAGTTTCGGTGAGCTATATAGTACAGTGGAGTGATCGGTCTCTTGCATTCAGACTACAGCAGGTCGGTTTTAGGTCGTTACATTTTTAACAAAACAAAAGATACAATAACAGCGAGAACAACTTGCCTGTCAATAGCTGTAAGTTTCCCATAAACCACATTGACGCATACTTTTAATCCCAGTTGACTTAAATGATTGACGGAAAATCCATGACTAAATTTAAACAAAATACATACATATATTGAATTAGTGAATTGTTTTGTTCGTCACTAACTATCTTAATCTAAATTATAATAAGTTTTGAACAGAAAAGTTACCCATGTCATTAATTGTTTAGCACATCTAACTTTCACTCTTTTTCCCAGTTGGTCGTCCGAAGATGATATGATGGAGATTTTTTAGGGGGAATTCAGAGCTTGCAGGAAGTCATGTAGCGAGGTGAAGACGACTGCAGAGAACAGGATCAAATGAAGATATGCTTTTTATGCCTATGTTCAACTCTGAACTCAAGAAAATAATAATATTTGTTTCGTGAAAGCCAACAATGACATAGAGAATGGACAACTTTTAACATAGGAATTTTCAGCGGAACGCATTTACATGCCACTGAATTATAGTGATATCTAATGAGATTCATAATATTAAGTAATAAGTATATACAAATACGACTACTGATGACGGTAGTTTTAACACACTTATCTGTGAAGTCACTGTCAGAAGCAACTATCTGATTCATTCCAACTTGGCAAAAATCAATTGCATATCTGCTTAGATTCTTGTTATAAAATCTCGGATAAGGTTTTGTACATAAGAATGATGTGCATAACCGATGATATTGGTGAGCCCATCAATTCACACTTTGTCAAACACTTTGTGAAATTTGAATAAATAACTTATACTACTGAGTAGATAGTAAATAGCATAATTTATTGCTTAGAATTTTATACAAAAACCAATTGAAGCTTAGCGAATCAATAAATAATAATTCAGCTTACTCTGAAGGTAGAAATTTGAAAGCCAGAGGATCTATTTTCTCCAGAGTATCTCCAGGAAGTCCGTGTGGAGATAACAGGACCAGATTCGTGAATCGAATGTATGGACTAGAAACAAATAAATAAATAAATAAGTGTTCGGTTTTTTTAACGACTATACTCATAAGAAAATACGTAAAGTTAAATTTACGAATGAAGTTATATTTGCATAATTTGAATCTTACTAAATCTTTAAACCCAAATTTCTGTGAGTTTCTAGACTACTGCTAAATTAAATTTAACCCACTTGAGTCGGAATCCAACGAATCATGTATTTTAACTCCGCCCAATTCACGATTTTAGCCTTATCACCAGCCAGTTTCATCAGCAAATATTTGTCCTTGCACTCTACCTGGTGGGTACCACTGGTCACGACTTCTCACTAGAACTCCAGACAAGTTTTCCCCAGTAACCACTTACTAGTGAGATAGTAACCTGGATGTGCTCAGTTCGTCCCCCAGGAGGGGAGTTTCATATCAGTGTACTGCTGAAGACTCCTAAAGTGGGACGGAACAGCTTTTCATTACTTTCTGGTTGGTTTTCAACGGTTCTGTAACTAACATCAGATCGTAACCGAAAACAGGAAATGAATCAAAGTGCCTACAAACTAATCCTTGGTGCAATTAGTATTATTGTTTCCTTTATTTCCAAGAGGATAAATAGGGTTTCAGCCGCACGTTCCATTGCGTTCGGTTCTTACCCAACGTTTTCACCTGGCTTCTCGTCTGCCCACATGCTTTCATCTCCTCTTCACATGACCTCATCCATGCCACTGTCGCATTGACGACCAACTCACCGCTTCCCTTTCAGGTTCCACTCGAGTGATGGTCCGGCGTGTGATGTAACTTGATGGTTTTCTCAGAGCATGGCCAATCCATCTCCATTTCTTCCTGCCTATTTGTTTCACAATCGGTTCCTGGTTGGGTAGCTCATTGCCAGAGATCTTTGTTGCTGATCTTTTCTGGCCATCTGATCTTGAGTATTGAGCGAAGTCAGCTGTTGATGAAAGTCTGTAGTTTATTTGAAGTGCTCTTCATGACACGCCAAGTCTCTGATTCGTTCAGTAAGTAGCACTGATTTCACATCGGAGTTGAAAATCCCGATCTTGTTTCCGACTCTGAGTGTTGTTGATTTCCTCTACACAGACTTAAGAGTAATGAAAGCTTACCTTGCTTTTCCAATCCTTGCTTTGATATTCTAATCACTTCCGCCTGTAGTTGAAACGATGCTTCCCAGGTAGGTAATACATAAATGTTTCACAAAGCTGTCTAGGATAAGATGTAGAATGAAAAATACACTCTACAAAGTCAAAGTAAGAGGGACAAAACTGCGGAGTTCAATAAAATTCTAGACCTCAGTTTGTAAGCCGACTGATACTCTGCAGAACAGAAATGGGAGCTTGAGAAATTAAAGTGAATCGACATGAGATCCGTTTGGCGTTATATAGGCTAAATTCGTCGACAGACATTTCATAATGTTGCCTGGACAGTAATTAGTAACTCGACGACTGCGTCGGTGGCACAGTGGTTAGGACTCTCGCCGACCATGCACATGGTCCGAGGTTCGATCCCCTGCCGACGCACACCTGATATCTATGGTCGGCCTGCGAATTTTGGGCTACCGATATCCACGCTGAAAATTCCACACTTGTCCCAAAAATACGGTGTGGAATCAAGCTGTAATCAAAAAAATAAAAAATAAAATCATGTAAAATCTAAACAACAACTGGAATGGGTTAAAGCTAATCCCTAGCAACTGCAAAAATGATGAATTAATGGGTCTAGTTGCCTAACCAAATAGGTTTGCTCCACATTACGATGAGAACTTGTTTTGTTGGAGTGGTACTGAGCTAAAATTTTGTCTAAAATGACTAAAATGAACTTCCAGAATACAAAACCATAACCAACTGATCAATTGAATTTATCTACTATACTGAAATACACATAAAAGTCAAATTCAACCACAACAATGTCTGTTAGACAAAATAAATGTATAAACCTCAGGAATTTAAACCATAAATAAACGAATCAAAAACTATCCAGTCAAGACTTTATGAATAAGGAAGAAGTTTGACTAACTGAGTTGGAAATCACCAACGCATCAAAGACCTTGAATGAATGCTGTTCATTGAATAACGGGACTCGCCACTATTATAGACCCACTATGAATGCTGTGCATGAACTGGGGTGCAAATTTTACCCAAATGTCATTTTTAAGGACTGTTTGGATGGTGTGTTGTTAGCTTGTTAGGGTTACGATTAAGGTTGCGGTTAAGGTCAAGGTTAATATTAGGGCTACGATGTTTCACTGTTGGAATAAAATGATTATTAGTCCATATTTTCTGCGACTACTTGTCCTCACACCCACCGACATGCTCTACGCTGCTGGTCACAACTTCCCACTAGAACCTCAGGTAAATATCTACCTGAATAAGACCAGCCGTTAGTGAACATCTCTTTGATATTCAAGTATTCGTTTGTAGGGATTTCATCGATTGGTTACAGGATTTCATCATGAGCTGACATCGGATAGAGAACCACTGGAAAACCTGGGAGTACAAATACTCGCCGAAGACATTGGCTAGCGGTTGCGCTATGTCGTGAATTGGCAGAAGTTAGAATTCATGGGCTGGATCGAGTCCCAATGGCTTAATGGTCTACGAGCTCCCTAGCCTTGTAATCACAAGGTGCTGGATCCAAACTCCGGTGGGTGAGTACTGATGAAGAGTTCCAAACTAAGACGAAACGGCTGTCTAGTACTCTCAGATTTTCCAATGGTTCGCTAACCGATATCAGCTCATGATTAAAGCCTCTAACCAATCAATAAAATCCCTACAAACTAATATTCGAAAATGATTGTTACTCTTTTTATTGTCTTTATTTTTCTACTAAATAATTTTATGGTATTCATAATTATTATCTGCATTTTTCTGGTAAATAAACAGCATTTTTAAGTGTAAAAACGTTTTATTCTGATTTGTTACATCAAGGTCAGCCATGAGTTCATAATGTCTGGATCGCTATTCTTTAACTTCACCGTTTTTCCATCCTAACAGAACTAACAATGAGGAAACATATGAACTAACCAACCTAATGATGCCTCTTCCTTTTTCAAGTGTCCGTTTGTAGGGATTTGATTGGTTGGTTACAGGATTTGATCATGATGATGAAATGATGATTTCATGATGAAATCCTGTAACCAATCAACCAAATCCCTACAAACAAACACTTGAATATGAATGAGATGCTCACTAGCGACTTGCCCTATTCAGGTAGGTAGTTACCTGGATTTCTAGTGAGAAGTCGTGACTAGTAGGGTGCAGCAGGTTGACGGGTGTGAGGACAGATACTCGCCAAAGACACTGGCTAGCGACCACGCTATGTCGTGAATTGGCAGAAGTTAGAATTCATGGAATGCACGTTGGATCGGGTCCCAGTGGCTTAATGGTCTACGAGTTCGCCTTGTAACCAGAAGGTGCTGGATCCAAACCCCGGTGGGTGAGTACTGATGAGGAGTCCCAAACTAGGACGAAACAGCTGTCCTGTACTCCGTGGTTGTCCTCCAGTGGTTCTCTAAATTAATGTCAGCTCATGATGAAATCCTCTTCCTTTTGCTTTGTTTTAAAACAAATCGAATGAAAAAAACACTTACGTAGCACGTATAGACTAAAGTTTTTTGAAATGTGAGGAGAAAAAAATGGGGGGGGAGAAGTTTTTGCTCGCTTACCATGTAGCTAATGTTTCAAGTACAGCTAAGCCTGTTGTTGATGCACCGACTACAATTATTCTAGCATTGATTATTTCTTTCGGTTCCATTAACAGTTTCGCAGTTGTCATAAATAAGGCTGGCATTGAATTCACCTCTTCTAAAATTCTTTTCTCTGGTGCTTTTATATCATCCAGCAGAGATTTTGGATATTTAATTTGTCTTCTTGGACTGACAGGAGTTAATTTTGATAGGCAAGTTATCAATGTTGTATTACAATAGAACTTTTTAAAGAAATAGACAGAAATTCAACAAGAAGTATGTTAGTCAGTGAAAGGTTGTTATTCCGGATTATATGAACTAAGAATATGTATAAAACCCATTCTCAAGGACTACTGAAGAGGTGTTTCTTTCTTGTCTTCGACTCTTCACAGCATGTATTTACTGGGGTTCAAATCCAGGACCTTCGGCTACAAGGCGAGCTCACAGACCTTTCAGCGACTGAGGCCCGATCCAATGTGTAGCCTATGAATTTCAACCTCTATTGATCCGCAGTATACAAAGTGTAACCACTAGCTGACGACATCGACGAGTAAGTGTTCTTTAACTAGACTTGGTGGACCATAAATACGAAGCATACAAAACGGTTTTAGAAGTGAACATGTATAGCGAAAATGTGAGAAGTTGAGGGATGATATATCACTCTAACAGCTCACTAATCAGACCGCTGTGAAATGGTGATGTAACGAGTTATTAATGTTTCCTATCTATGTTTTCTAGCGGTCTGCTTAATTCACTTGACTACATGAATTGTCATTCAATAAAATGCTTCATATTTTCCCTAATTCTCATTCAATTATGTTTTTGTATTGCACAATGTACTCATGAACATTTTTGATCGGCTCCTCTCAGAGTACTGGTGTGCATTTCTCGAAGATGGAAGAAAAATGTCGGTGAGGGAATCGTCTGCGCTTCAAATCGAACAGCAGTGTGTTACATAATCTACTCTACTGATTGCTACTTTACATGAAGATCCTGGATGATGAGAATTCCTCCTGCCGTGTAAACATTTTGGCAAGAATAAAGCTGCTAGTATTATTAGAACTGCATATATTGTCTACAGGGATAATGGAACCTCTGCAATTACGTCATCCAGTCTCGTGTGCAAAATAACACACAAAGTAACATCCATAACTTTGCTCATTATTTAACAACGTCGTATTCATTATACGTTTATTATTCTGTGCCTCTGATCTCATTTTGAAAAAAAACTATGACTTATATTGAGAAGTTTAATAACTTTCCAAGAACTTGTTTTTAAACTAAATAGAAAGGCTGAGTACTTTTCATTTACCCTTAAATCCTGTTTTCCTCACTTTAAAGAATCCAATAGGCATGTCTGTGTTTTAACTCACTCGCCAACCATGTACATGATCTGGACTTCAACTCATGGTAGACGTACTTCTAAAGCTTCTATCTGTCTGTCTGCCTGTTTTCGACACAGAACTTTTCACCGATATGAACTAGTTCAAGTTGCCACAATCCCTCCATGTAGCACACAAAGCAAGAGAAGGAGGTAGAAGAAATGGATATTACAGACAGTAAACAGAGGTGTGAGACAAAGGCATAGTAATAACGAAGAACAAAACAGTTTCATTGGAAATCATAAGTCACAAGGAGTGAATGCACCTGCGCTGTCAATGAGAACGATTTTGAGCCACATCACCAATTGTTTCCAACCGTTGGTTTTTACCGTCCCGTGGACCCCAACCAAGAAGTCTACACCTTCCTCTGTGGCTTAAACTAACTGTTGTAGATTTCATTGACTGGTGCCATGTTTTGGTTTGGCCGCCACTAGCTCTTTTCCAGTCTGACCCTATGTCAGCTAACATTGCCCGCCGAGGAAGGCGATGTCCTGACCATCTCAGTCGATGTAATTTCACAGCCACGTCGATTGATTTCCCATCCTTACCTAGCACCCGACTGACGCCTAACCTCAATATTGCTCACCTTATTATACCTTTTGACACAAGAGATAGAACGCAGGCACCTATGACCGAAGACAGTTAATCTTTTCATGTCTTCCACTTTCAATGGCCAGGTCTCACCGATGGTCATAAAAGAAGGCAGGCGCGGACTGCTGAGCAATACACCCGCCCTTTGGTCGATACCCAGATACCACGTCTTCTAAAGCTTGCTTAGCGGGTATTAAACGCTGTTGAAAAGGATAGGTTTGGCGTGAGGTCAGCAACCTTACCTTGTGAAAACAACACCACACCCACTGAAACTGCCAATCTTAAGCTTTAAGCCGCATGTTCCACTTGGAGCTCAAGGGAGTGAAAACATCGTGGGTGTGTATCAGTTGTCATGTTATCTTCTAGTAAAATTAACCATAAGTCCTCATCCCCTCACATGATCTCACCCATCTCATCCTCAAACTTAGACCCAACTTGTTGTCTCCTACCCATCTCTCATATTGAGAGATGGCCTGTTACATGATATCCTTCAACGGTCTCCCAAGTGTGTTCAGTCCATCCCCATTTCCTTTGGAATATTTGTTCAGCAATAGGTTGGTGATGAGTTCGCCCCTTACCAGAGTTCCTTGTTGTTGATCGTTTCTGGTTGGTTATCTGTGATCTTCAGTATGGAGCCAGAGAAGCCAGGCAGCTGTTGATGAAAATCTGAAGTAGTCTGTTGAGAAAATACTTTCCGTGACACGAACATCAAGTCTCTGAGCAATATAGAAGAGATGCAACTGACTTACTATTAGCGCTAATAACTGGAATCTTGTTCCTTATGATGAATGCACTAGCGTATGTGATAACGGATTATTAATTTGATCGTCTTTTATTTTCTTTTGATTATGAAGCAACAAACTGGTTAATATTAAATGATTTAAATTCAAAACTCTCATATTGAAACTTACTGACTCATATGCATATGGTGGTGGTACACGATAGTAAATGCATGTTTTACGTGACTGACGTAGAATTTCTCGTAGAAACATTGAGGTGTGCGAATGGAAATTGGCAGCCAGCAGAAAATGATACAAGCAAACATGCTCATTTCTAGCATGATGTGTATAGTATATAAAATCTTCAATGTTATAATGAGCTCGAAGCCATTCCATGCTCTGTAAAGTTGTTTTATTTTGTGTGGTTAAAATAAAGAAAACACTGTTACGTTAAATATATTTGTCATGAAATAGTAGGCTCAGTCTGAGTAAGGATAATGTTAGTGTAACGACAGAGGACAAGAGTCAGGCAACAGAACATTAATTGAGAAAATCAACGCATATTTACAGATTTTTATGTACATTATTATCCGTTATTGTCAGCAGAGAAACAGCTTCTTCTGATTGGTCGTTTTCTCTTTGTGACCTTTTCTTTGAAGGTCAGGCTCAATATTTGCGAAGTCTGCTGTGATTGGTTGTTGAGTTAGCCTTTGTCTTGTTATTTCCTCATGACCAAGATCTGGTATGTAAATATTCACGTAAATTGCTGTCTACCAATTTTAGCTAGCAAGTAGCTCTCACCACATCATGACAGTGTTGTTGTCTAACGTGTCTAGAATGAGCTACCAGACACGAGACGATAATCAGGTGGTCGTCTAGATTTATCTCCTACACTGAGTTAGACACAAACTGTCAGATTCAACCACGGGCATGTTTATTAGACAAAATACATTATGTATCATATTTACAAAACCTTAGGAGATGAATCCATAAATTTAAAAAAAAATGTGATTGGTTGTACTATGTCAGAAATCCCCAGAGATCTAAGCCACTAATAAAACAATTACAAATTGCCCAATTAGGTTATCATGTCAGTGCATTTATAAATAGGAACCATGGTAGTAAGTAATTTCATATTAGCTTGTTTATAGATGTATCACACAGTGATGAAACAGTATTATTTCCTGGATGACACAGTTTCGAACAAAATTTATTGTTCATAGTCATTTTATCAATTATAATCACCCAACTTCGAAGCTTGATTTTTATAGTTTTCTTTGTTCTCTCCTATTCGTCGTCACAGGGATAGTAGAATTTTCCAGATATCTGCGTGGACAGGTGTTGAATCATCCCTATTACATGTACTTACAGTTGATTCAATAAACAAAGCTGACGTTATCAATCCTGCTACCTACACCCTGTTACATTAGATTTCAAAAGTGTCATCTTATCTCATCCAGTCTATTGTATGATTGTGTGTAATTGCATGTAGTGAGTGGTATAGCTGAAGTGTTCTCTAGATTTCCTATCTTATTCGGGTAAACTAATCTAGATTTAGCTGCTAGGCTTTTTGTGCTCCGCTAGTCTGACTGCACCTATTCTACTACTCTGACTCATGTATTTAACCTGACAATCATTGCAGACAGGGAATTAGATAAACTAATTTGTTTTGTTTTAAAGGCTCCACAGGAGTGATCATCAAACCGACAAAGTTTGTTTCTAATTGAGTTTGTGGTTGGTTTGAATGCCAGCCACTTTTATTCCTGCCTTGTTAAGAATTCTGCGTAACGATTCCGAGGTTCATTCCTTGTATGATGATTTAGATTCCTTATTGTTGGTGTTGTCATGCGTATATTTGACATGCATGTCCTCATTAACATTATTATCACTATCACTACTATTAGTATTTATTTTATTTTCACCTTTCCCTACATACTTTCTGAATAATTTATCAGGGTAATCATTAAGTTTCAAATAAACATAGATCATTACTTCTGTGATAAATTTCTTTCTATATCCGAAATGTACATTTTTAAAGAGTCCAATTGGTTAAGTGCATAACGTTTCAGTGATCGGGAATTTGGATAAACTTTATTATTATTATTATTAATGAGCATCTTCCTTCATGGTTCGGAAAAGGTCAAATAAAGTCCATACGAAGTTCTATTTTGGCTCATTTGATTGATAGTGGTCACCAAGTGGACAAAAATAGTGCTTTCAAAGTTATTTACCGCATTCCATCAAGTATTTCGAACGGAATCAGAACCCGTCTTTTACACTTAGCCGAAGCTGTGGGAATTCGAGAGAACAATCCTAGTCTTTGTATACAAAAGAAATTTGTTCTACCTTTGTCTCTCCCTTGGCCTAGGTGAATTCTATTCAAAACCCTCCCACCCTTTCTTATCATCCCTCTCCTTCGTACTTTTATGATATCTATTTAAACTCTGATTATCGTTCCATTTGATTTGACCTAATTTATTTATTTATTGAATTGTCTACATATATGCATATACTAACTTTGTTATTCTTATCACCTATATAAGCCTTATTAACAATATTTTGTTATTATTATAATCATCGCTATTAACTTCGTTCAAAACATTTACCACAATATTATTACTACTATTATTATTATGATTACTATTATTATTTGATCCACTAAATCACCGTCATTGGTTAAAATTTTATACATATAAGTCTATGTAAATTAGAGTAAAGCCTGAAGATCTAATTGAAAACAATATTGTTCGCTTATATGCCTTGTTCTAATAGATCATTACTACATGGCTTACAAAGAATCTTATCCATCCTAACAGATAATAACAGAGACAACCGGTAGATATCACTGATTTGTTTAGAAGCTGAGTATAACACTTCTTGAGTCTAAGAAGAAAATAGAATCGTGTACACTATAGTAATAAGACAGCTTCTCATGAGAACTTATGATCGCCACCACTTAGAAGCTGATAGTAAACAATCTTCTCATCACTTATGAAGTATTCGAATAGATTACATACACTTTAAAGCTATGCGAATACATTAATTAACCATTTATCAGAAGTTCCAATCGCAGAATAGTTCAAGTACCAAGCACCACTTCATTGCACCGAATATTAGATGACTGAGGGTGATTGGAATGAAGCCTTGCATCTAGGTTTCGTGCTTGTCACCACTTACCAACAATAAGGTGTGTCTATAATCTTAAGGGAAACTTTTCACAGCCTGACAGATAAACCCGCTATAAGGATAGAACTTGAACACTGTGGTAGAGGATAATTCCATCACAGAGTAAACGTATTCGGTAAAGTCCAATAGTGTTATACAGGATTTTTACCGATGACCACGTTATCCAGCTTAATTTATTGCTGACCATAATCCAAATCAAGGCAATCACATAACTTTCAAAATTCATTTGTACAGTTTCATTATTTCTTATCCTTTGTTTTGATTGTTAGTCATATTTTCCAAATCTCTGGTATTTCTAATTAGTTATTCTTATTTGATGTGTTAAATGTAGATTCGATGAAGAAATATTCAGTGATCAAAAACCCTGACGTACTTATCTCACGATATTGTGTAATTGTGTTTTAATTTGCTGATTGCAAATTCCTCATCTTCGCTGGGTTAATCATTCCACACTTATTCAAGTGTTGGTTTGTAGGGATTTGATTGGCTACAGGAATTAGCAGAAGTTAGAATTCATATGCTGGCCATTGGATCGGGTCCCAGTGGCTTAATTGTCTAAGAGCTCGCTGGTTTTGGAACCAGAACGTCCTGGGTTCGAATCCCGGTGGGTCCTTATCGCTGAAGAGTCCCAAACTAGAACGAAACAGCTGTCCAGTAATCCCAGGTGTTCCAATGGTTCTCTAACTAATGTCAGCCCATGATGAAATCCTGTAACCATTCCACACTTAGATAAATTTTTAGATTCTAACAATCTGACTATCCCCAATTACTGTTCTCTGACCTATGAGGTTGACCTTACTCACTGTTATTGCAAAGTATTTAGTAGGTTATATTATTTTGTCTAATTAGTTCAATACAGAGCATTTTCTCCCTGAGTGAGTTCCTACTTTTAGATGCCATCTTAATTCCTCGTCTATCAAAAATCCTACGTAGGATCTAGAATGTCCTGCTCTCATATGATATAAACCTGTAGATGCCTTAAACTGTTTCTTATATATGTTTTCATCAAATAAACTTCTGTTTTTATAAATTTCAAGTTGTAATTTAACAGTATGTATTAACATATAGTATCCATACTCTGTGAATCGGTGGCATAGCGGTAGAATGCTCTCTGACCACGTATGTGGTTCTGGGTTCGATCTCCGGCCGATGCACTCCTTTACGCCGCTAAGCCAGTAATAAGACTCTTGGAGAGGGGAGGTTGGGCATGAGGTTAGCAACACCAGCCCGCAAAAATAAACACCACTGCTACCGAAACTGCAAGGCTTTAGCTTGAAGCCCCGTGTTTCACTGGGAACGTAAAAAATAAAGAAAAATTGAAAAAATTGAAAAATCCATCCTCTACATTCGTGATAGACAGCATGAGCACTACTTTTACTGAAAAAATAATGGTAAAAAAGCAACATATGGTATCAGTTAACTTGAGAAGCTCACATTTTCATCGCGTAAGATCGCTACACCAACAACTTTGCCCAAAGCAACAGCAACATAACAGGAAATTAGAGTTCCGTCCTAATCATAAAATACAAAAATATAAAACAGTTTTATGAGGTTAACACTTTAAAAAAAAAGTTTAATTCTAACTTTACGTATGACTAAATATGGTTGCGCTGGGGAGATTCGAATCAGTTTCAACGTGGATTTCGTCGGGAATCAGCATCACTTTAAGAGATCATTAACAACCGCTCAGGGAGCACCAGGTGGCTGTTTCGTCCTACTTTGAGACTGCCATCAGTGCTCGACCACGACAACACTAGAGATCGAAACTGGGACTCGCAGGGTACGAGACTAAGCTTGTTGACTATTCAACCACTTGGGCAGGAATTCAATGACCCCTGAAATTCTAACTCCGTCTTTTTGTGATATGGCACCACTATCAACCAATGCCTTTGGTCGCACAACAGTTGGGGCTCTCGCAGCCTTGCACATGGTCCGGGTTCGATTCCCTGACGATGGACATCTGATATCAATAGTTGGCCTGCAAAATTTGGGCTACCGATATCACACCGTGAAAATTCCATACATGTAACAAAAGTACGAAGTGGGATCAAGCTATCATCAAAAATTAAAAATTAGATTAAAAAATAAGCGTCCACTCAAAATTTGACATTGTAGATTCCACTGACCACAACTTCTCAGACATCTATCCAGTAGCCACCAAAGAGCTGAAGATTTAGGTTTTGATATGGAACTGGTGAAAAGTTCCAAACTAGGATGAAATAACTGTCCAGTGATCGGTCTGATTGTTAAAATTTTGATATCACAACAATCTAATAAGTCTCTTCTGTAAACCGATGCCAAACACTTATAGATGAAATAACAAACCATTACTTTGAAAATGATGAGAACTCCCAGGATTACAGTAGGTACTGCCATAAGTTTTTTCCTGCCTCGGATCAACATGAGTAGAAGGAAAACCTTGCAAAGAAGTGCAACGGTTCCATTCAGCTCACTCTGTACATTACACAAAGATGAAGAAGAATAAAATTCGAAAAATATTCCAGTAAACAGAAATTTACTGGATAAAGAATAATTACTCAGAGGAAAATGAGAACTGAATGAATCTAGGAGGTTTAGAAGAGTAAACGACTCCGAACTATATCGCCAACAGTCACAAATCATTGTTTCTTAATGTCCCTAGGACCCTTACGAGGCAGTCTTCATCACTCCACGAGACTCAAACCAACACTCAAAGATTTTCAAGTATTGGTTTGTAGGAATTTGACTGATTGGTTACAGGATTTAATCATGAGCTGACATCGGGAAGAGAACCATTGGAAAAATCCTGGGAGTACTAGACAGCCGTTTCGTCCTAGCTTTGGGACTCTTCATCAGTACGCACCCACAGGGTTTTGGATCCAGCACCTTCTGATTACAAGGCTAGCGAGCTCGTAGATCATTAAGCCACTGGGACCCGATTCAATGGCCAGCCCAAGAATTCTAACTTCTGCCAATTCACGACATAGCAAAACCGCTAGCCAATGTCTTCGGCGAGTATTTGTCCTCACACACAACCTGCTGCACCCTATTGGCCACGAATCGGCAGATGTTACAATTCATGGATTGAACTTTGGATCGGGTCCCAGTGACTTAATGGTCTACGAGCTAGCCTTGCGACCAGAATGTCCTGGGTTCGAGCCCTGGCAGCGGGTGTATGCAGATGAGGAGTCCCAAACTAGGGTGACGAAACATCTGTCCAGTACTCTCAGGTTTTCCTGTGGTTCTCTAACTAATGTTAGCTCATGATGAAATCCTGTAACTCAGATTTCATGGACTGAGATCAGGTCTTGATAAAAACGCTTCCAACTCTTTTCCAGCCTAATCCTACATCAAATAACATTTCTTGTTGCGGAAGATAGTGGTTCGGCATGTGTAACTCATGTAATAAACATCTCACCATGGTGACCAGCCACCTAGAATGCTGTTCACACTAGCAAACTTGATTGACGATAGGATTCAGTATACACCAAACAAGGCATTAAGCGCATAATGCTAGTTACTAACTAGTGTCCAGTCAAAGTATCCAACACAACAATCCTACAGGATTTGACACTGTGAAATATTCCCATTTTATGAATTAAAAGTCAATCTGGACCTCTCATTCCAGTCTTACTATCTCCTGTTTAAGACAGACCACTTTGTACTAGCCCCTCACTCACCTTACACCTTCTATAACCTTGAACTGATTTGTCAGTTTTCCTACCCCACACTCTACAAATCTATTATGATTAATCACCACCATTGTCTCCCGTTTTACAATATTTCTAATCGATTTCAGCCCAGAGCACGTGTGTCACATAAATACGACTATTTATTTTGACACCTCTTAGCTATTAATCTGTTATTCTACGTTAAAAATGTATCCGCCGTCGCATAACTGGTCATTGTTGCCATGACAACAAATATTGTATTTAATAATTGTAAGAACCTGAAAAGGAGAAATTATTGAAAAGAATATTCTTTGTTCAGGTTGACTTTTAATCCTACAGGAGGTCAATCTTGAGCCCAAATAGCTCAGTGGTAACGTCTTTTACTCCAGAGCTGGGTAACACGGATTCGAATCCCAGAAGGGAAATAAGTCCCTTTCTGATGATTGCAAACTAACATAAAAAGTAGATCCAAACCTTCCTGCTGATTATCTCCAATCATCTAATATCAACTAGCTGTCTCAGTTAACGTGACTTCATAACGTCATTGACTTTTTAATTGCCCTCCTTATTTAACACTCTACACCACGATATATTCACCAACTTTTTAATATACTATCAAATGTAATGAAGAAATTATTTAAGTGGATTAACTTTACTACTTGAGAACACTGATATCAAGTGAGCTATGAAAAATAACTCACTTGGCAAAATTCTCTAATTTGTATTTGTATAAACAAAAAATGGAAAGCGGATAATACAAATTGCCTTATTTTTCTGCCAATTTCATTAACTAAAACAACTTAAATAAAGTATAATTATATTTCAGTGGTTTACAAACAATGATAAGTTTTGTGTTTTGGTAATATTTCGAGCGAAATCACTGCCCGTGTTCCCACCAACTGTTGGAATTGTTTTGTTGTTTTTTTTAATTTACACATTTATGATTTGTACTCATGCATAAACCATTCAGGTCATCAATAAAATGTTGCTGGGTTTGTGTACACGACACGTTAGTAATAATTAAAAACCAACGATGTTCAGAAATTCTTCTCCACACAAACAGTCATGTCAACTCAACAAAATTCACTATGGAAATAGAGAATGAAATTGGGGAGCTTTCTATGTTAGACTGCAAAATATAAAGAGTAACAGATGGTAGTGTGTGAGAGCAGTCCGTGAGAAAATATGAGCAAGGCTGATTCAACAACCAATCACAGCAAAGTTAACGTGGCAAAATATGATTCGCAGATAGAGAACTCTATTAGTCGAGGAATCCCGAAACAACCAATCAGAAGCCTGCGTTTGTCTGCCTAACTTCTGATAAACAACCAATCAGATAACTGCGCTTGTCTACTTGCATAAGCTATAATAATGTATGTGAAATATGTATAAATACGTGTTGATTTTCATAATAAAACCATCTGTTGCCTGGCCCTTGTCTTCTGTTGTTACATGAAAAACTAAGCAATATGGAAGATACCTTGATAATCACTCAGCTCGTCTACTCAAGGTAAAAAGAGGATTAATACAAGGTCTTGTAGATAGAATAGGTAGATTTACAACAACATGAGAGGACCAGGTAAAGAAATAAACGTCCTATTCAAAATGTTACTTGACAACAACTACCCAAAAGAATTTATCAAAGATAATATAAAAAAGAGGGTAAAACCGGAGAATGACAAGACGGAGGAAGGCAAAACAACAGTCACAATACCATACAAAAATGGTACATCAGAGGCAATTCGAAGAAACCTCAAAAATACTGGGATTTGCACAACGTTTAAACCGACGAATCTAATTAGAAATAAAATAAATCAGCTGAAAGATCCCACAAAAATGACGGATAAAAATAATGTGATTTATAAAATATATTGTGCCAAGTGTCCGACGAAATATGTTGGTCAAACGTTCAGATCACTTAAAATAAGAGTGAATGAACATAAACGCCCGCCTAACTAAGCAAAAACACAAGTTTACAAGAAATTAGAAACAAAATCATCTAAAGCTGCACATGCATGGGATAAAAATCACAATATCGATTGGAACAGATTTAATTGGTGGATGGTGAATCTCAGTGGAATCCAGGATAACGCGCATTTCACCCTATTTGGGACTCGTCAGCCAGTGGATGTACCTGCATTCCCCAGTGGGTGATGTTGTTCCCACCGAGGCTCGAACCCAGTGCCCATAGTTGCAAACGTCAAAGCCTTATCTACTAGACCACTAGGACCATGAGAGCTACCCCACTGACTGGGGAATGCAGGTACGTCCAACTGACGAGTCCCAAATATGATGAAATGCGCCTCCTGGATTCCACTGCTAGTCACCATCCACCAACTAAATTCTGATTAAATGCCCAGACATCATCGAAACATCTGCACAAGAAGCTCACATGTCAACCTGAGACAGCGCATTTCGGCCCAATCAATTGACGGGAAAATCTAAAAATTCGATTGGAACAATGTTTGTATTCTAAAAACTAATTTGAAAAAGTGGAAAAAGAGACGTATAACAGAATCTATATTCATTAAGGTTACACCGGATACATGTAACAAGGGTGACACAGCAGCACAACTGTCAATAGCCTGGAAAATATTTATGAATGCACAAAAATGAATAAACAAAATTGAACTATATATATGAGTACAAATCATAAATGTGCGAACAAAACAATTCTAACAGTTAGTGGGATAAGGGGCAGTAAATTTGCTCGAAATATTACCAAAACACAAAACTTATCATTGTGTGTAAACCAGTGAAATATAATTATGTCTTTATTTGATCTATTCCACAATGCTCAAACTTTCTGCTGACATTAATAAAACAACTTACATCATGTTTACCATTATGTATGAATGCATTTAAATCAGTTAAGAATAAAGATCGATCCAGTGAATTCATATAACCAGTTAATGATTTAATGGCTTCCTCTTCAGAGCGTTTTGCCCGTCGTACAATGAAATCTCTAAAATACATTTGAATAATATTGAATAGAAATAAAAGGAAGTGATTATGTCTGTTAAAAGCTCTCTACATTATTGTATCACAAAAATTAGTTGGTTTATTAGATGTATCACATAGCCAGAGAAACAGTATTATTTACTGGATGACGTTTCGAACAAAATTTATTGTTCATAACCAATCATATCAACCATAAGACACAACTTCTTACGAAGTCTCCCACTTTCGAACAGAGAGAAGCATGTCCTGCTCGAGCGAAGACACAACTTCGAAACTTGAGTCTCATGGTTTTCTTTGTTCTCTCCTATTTGTCGTAGGGGTAGTAGAATAAGGTGGTGTTCAAACCCACAAACTCAATTATAAACAAGCTTTGTCGGTTAATGGATAAATCCTGTGGAGCCAATAAAGCAAAACAATTTAGTTTATCTAATATTCTGCCTGCAATGATTGTCAGGTCAAATACATGGCTCAAACTAGCCTAACATAAAAACCAAGATAAGAAATCTAGAGAATAGTTCATCTATTGTACTCACTACCTGCAAAGATACACAACCACACAATAAGATGGGATAAGGTGACAGTTTTAAAATCTAATGTAACATCTGAGTGGAGGAATAGATTGATAACTCAAGCTTTGTCTATCGAACCAACTGCAAACACGTGTAATAGTGTGGTGAGAACAGGCTGCTAGCCAAACCGGTAGACAATTATTTACGTCAGTATTTGCATCGTAAATATTGGTAGTGAGAAAATATGAACAAAGTCTGATTCAACAACCAATCAGAGCAGACTTGGCGTAGGCAGATACAGTCAACATATAGATGACCTGACTTTCAAGAAACAGTCACATAATAGATGCAAGGTCAACTTTCTGTGAGAAACAACGAATCAGAAGACTGTGTTTGTTTGCTTGAATAAGCTATAATAATGTACATGAAAATATATAAATAATACGTGTTGATTTCCTTAATGAAGGATCTGTTGCTTGGCCCTTGTCTTCTGTTGTTACAGTAGAAATCACTCAATACCTGTCCACCAGGATATCTGGAAAATTCTACTACTCCAACAACGGCAAATAGGAGAGAACAAATAAAACTATAAAACTCAAGTTTCGAAGTTGTGTAATTATAATTGATGAAATGATTATGAACAATAAATTTTGTTCGAAATTGTGTCATCCAGGAAATAATGCTGTTTCATCACAGTGTGATACAAATAATAAACAAGCTAATATGGAATTATTTGCTACCACAGTGGCCAAGTTTTACACATATATTAATAGTATCACACATTTTTAGTATTCACAATAGGAAACAGCATAACATAACATAGCATACCCTGTTTTGTTTAATTTGATGGAATGAATATGAAATTCCGATAGTTTATGAAGCAGATTTGTCTATCAAAGTTGAGACAGTTAACAAATTTACCATAGAAGGCCTAATAGAAATCATAAACTTTAGCAGGATACATCATCTCTGCACCTTACATACATCATTGTGCATAGCACTACTCATTACACTTTTTTGGTTTTATTCCTTTGAGCACCGAGTGGGAAATAGTGCTTCAAGTTTTTAGCTTAAAAGTTTCAATTAAAGTGGTGTTGTTGTCTTTTATTGGGTGTAATTGCTCGCTTCTCACCCAAACTTTTCTTTTTTAATTTAAATAAAGTAAGAACAACAGTGGCTTGTGCAAAATAATATGCGATTTACAAATGTTTATTCCGTTGGCTTCTCATCAGCTACTGCTTACAGACTAAATAAATTATTATTAAGTTTATGTACAGAAGCAGTATATTAACAGCATACTTGCAAATTTCACGTGATGTCAGTTGACAGGGGGTTCTCGGCTTAATAAACTGTGCTCAAAAATCACGATCATATAGTTTCTGCTCAGGCAGTTCAAGTTTAAACAATGTAAATGTATGCATAAAATGGCAAAGTGGTTACGTAATAAATATGAGAGATGCGTAAGATTATGAGTAACTAATAAAATGGGTGATAGTGTGCTGAGTTCAACTCAAATCATAGAAACAAAAGACAAGTAAAATTACACTATATCAGTGTGTGTGTGTGGGGGGGGGTAGATTAAAGCCGAAGATTATGAAATTCAAATGAGACAGAGAGAGAATAAAGATATCCAGTTCATGAGAAAGATTCTCTGAAAAATGGTCATTTAAGATTTTGAATGGGAAGCCCTTTTAATTAATTTTGTTCCTCGCAGGACGAACTTTAGTTTTTCTTGAAAGTTTGTTTTTTTTTACCGTGTGGCCGCAGGGGGGATCCTAACCCAATATAGGAAAAAATTAAAAAAAAGTGTCTTTTTTTTCCCGGCTGAAAACAGGGCCTAGACAGCGGTGCACTTTAACTGTCTGGTCTATAAGTCCTTATCTTCTCTATATCACCCTCAGAATTACACCTAACTCGCTGTTTCTCATTCGACTTCTAGTCGAGTGATAGCCTAGCTCGTGTACTCGGTGTATGTGTGATCCACATCCATCTTCTTCAGCATATTTGTTGACCAGCAGGTTCTTGGTTGATTCCTTCCTAGGGTTTCTTGTTGCTAATTCTTCCTGACCAGCTGGTCATTTTATCTTCAGCATGAAGCCAGCGCAGACATTTGTTGATCAAAGTCTTCGGTAGCCTGATGGAAATGCTTTCGCAACAGGCCCGGCAAGTTTCTGAGGCATAAAGAAGAAGTGACTGACTTAATATTGGCGCTGAAAATCCGAACTTCATTCTTTATTCTGAATGTAGTGAATTTTCACGCTAATTTTTCAGGCGTGTCTTGCCTTTCTGATTCTGCTTTTGACATTCTCATCCGTGCCACACCTGTAACTGCAACCGGTGCTGCCTGACCTCTTTGAAATTTCTTCCGTTGGTAGTGACTGATGCATGTTGTTGTTGTTGGGTGGTGGTGGTTTTCTTCATCACCTTCATCTTCTCCGTGTTCATTTGAAGTCCTGTCTTCGCTGCTTATGTTTCCTGCTAACCTGTTGGTTTTTGCCTGTAGGTGTTCGAATTTATGCAGACATCTGACATAAATTATTCATGAAGTCCAGATCTTCTAGTGTTAACATATTCCTGTCTTTTCGCCCTCATGCACAGTCTTCTGCATAATCCAGTCCACCACAATCGAAAAGTTAATCTGTAACAACGAAAGACAAGGGCCAGGCGATAGGTCGTTTGCTGAGAAATTCAACATATATTTATGGATTTTTATGTACATTATTACTCGTTACTGTTAGCAGAGAAACAGCGTCTTCTGATTCGCTGTTTTCCCAAAGAAGGTGATTCTGTCATCTCCTTTTTTTTGCCGTTTCTTAGACATTCCGGTGACATATCCACTAATCGTATCCGCCCACACTAAATCTGCTGTGATTGGTTGCTGAATTCTTCAAGGTTAGTCTTTGTTCTTGTTTTTTCTCATAACCCTGAATTGGGTCACAAACACTGACGATAAGTATCGTCTCCAATTTTGTCTTCCAGACAGCTCTCACTACAAATCCTTTATGAACTGTTATTAATAACCTTTGTTTATAAAAGTATAATTAACTGTAAATCAATACTATTTATTTCAAAAATGAATTTACCTGTGAATTTCAGACCGATGAAAAACATACAATTCATGCTCAGGATCTTTATTTCGTCTTATTCTGCAATGCTAAGTTACGAAAGAAAAAAAAGAGGAAAATATAAGACGAAATCAATTTTCAAGTAATAATAATTCCTGTCATTTTAAAAAATCTAATTTATGAAGTATCAGTGCTTGAATTCTATAAATCAACTTGATGACGATTGTTCGACGACAGAAGACAAGGGCCAGACAACAGATCGTTAATTCAGAAAATCAAAAGATATTTATATATTTTTGTGTACATTATCATTCGTTATTATTAGCAGAGAAGCATCGTCATCTGGTTGGTTGTTTTCTTGCTGAAGTTAACTATCATCTCTTCGTTACTGTTTCTTAGAAAGTTAAGTCATATATCTGCGAATCGTATTTGCACACGTTCAGTCTGCTGTGATTGGCAGTTAAACTCCTCAAGGTTAGGCTATGTTCTTGTTTTTTATCATGACCCCGATTTGGGATGTAAACATTAGCGGATATTGTTGTTTACAATTTCGGTTTGTTTCCAGACACCTCTCACTACGCTACTCTAATATGCTACTTAAGATTAGACATCCAAAGTTAATAAACGTGGAAGGGATTCAAGCGTACAATGCAGCTGCATACGATTGGTCATTTATAAGCTTTTTTTAGTTAATTTTTTCTCCATTGATTCTTAACATCTAGATGACAACATTGAAATGCACTCTAAATTTGACACATTTGAACAAGAACTAGTATTCAGTTTGTTTAAAGTACTAAGTGTTCATCAAATATTTCTCAGATGTCTGTTTTTTAATCACACAGATGTCATTCAAGTGTTGATTTGCCCGAAAATGATTGAATTCAAAAGTTAGACCACGAAGTAATTTTAGTCAGAGAAATATAGAAAGCCAGGGAGTATTGGCCAGCTGTTTCACATTAGCTTGAAACTATTGAGTACTGTGCATTCATGACCCCGAGAAGAAACAAACCCAGCACCGTTAGATCATAGCACAAGTCAGTTGACAATTCAGCCACTGTAAAGTATCTCAGTAGTTAGTAAATTTTAACTTCTGTCAATTCAGAACATGTTGCACCATCAGTAGTCGATACCTCATGCCTGACTGGTTAGACCTGTGTTGTTAGGATTTTCAACTAAAACACCTAATCCTGATCACTAGATGAAGCGTTGTGTTAGATACTCGCCAATGGCGTTGGCTGGAGGTGACGCTATTTATCATGAACTGACAAAAGTTAGACTCCATGGTCGATTGGCATGAGCTGCAGTGGATGAAAGCTTAACTTATTTTTTTATTATTCATTATTCCTTCGAGTTCGCAGTGAAACAAAGGGCTTCCACAACACATCTCTCCACTTTCCCCTATTTTCTGCTCTCCTCTCCATCTAGGTCCATGATAGCCCATAATCTCTCATCTCCTCAAACCCACACGATATCCTACATATAAGCTTCTCACCGATGACCCACTCATCGTTTCCATTTGTACTCTATTCCAGCAATAGCCTACATTGAGCACGATGCCATTCAACGACCTCCTCAACGTATGACCAATCCATCTCCATTTCCCTCGGCATATTTGTCGAGCGATAGGCTCTTGGTTGGTTTATTCCCAGTCAGCCAGAGTTTCTTGTTGCTAATTCTTTCTGGCTAGCCAATCAGTTGGTCATTTGATCTCCAGTATGAACCCAAGGAAGGCGGCTATTGATTAGGAGTCTTCAACTTACTGGAAATCCTTTGCGTGACAAGCAGTATAAGTTTCCGACCCGTATAAAGAACTGACTGACTGACATTTGCATTGAAAATCCCAATCTCGTTGTTTATGCTGACTGAATTAGTGCCGAAGATTTTCTAACTTTTCTCAGGTTTATGAAGGCGTATCTTGGCTTTCCGATTCTGGCCAGCTTTGACATCGTCATCCGTTCCATCCGCTGGTAGTTGAAACGATGCTTCTTAAGTGAGTGAGTGAGTGAATGAATTAACCTCTGTCAAATCACTCCCGTTGATGGTGATTAGTGCTGGCTGTTGTTTCTTTTGCTACTGGTTGGTCATCTTCCCTCTGTTCACCTGAAGTCAAGTCTTCTCCGGCTGTTTCTTTGGTCAATTTGTTGCTTTCCACCTAGCTGTAAGTCTTTGAGTTTGTGTGACATTAAACATAAATCATCCATATGCGAAATCCGCATCTTCTAGAGTCTTTTCATCGATGGTCAAAAGTGTTTTGTTTTGTTCTCATTCCCCATGCACAATCTGATGCCTAATTCAGTCCACAACAATTAAGAATATCATCAGTGATAATAGGCAGGCAGCCTTGTGTTACTTCTGTCTTGACTTCGAACGTCTCGCTGATTTTTTCCGTTGAGGATCCCCTAACACATGGTATTGTCAGATTGTATGTAACTGAACCTGCTTAGTATTCAAAATTTATCCTAATAAATTCTCCTATGTTAATCACAATTATACAAATTCCTGGTTGATAGAATACTAAAGTTTCTTCTTACACATTCTATGGACTTTATTATTGTTGTTCATTTGCTGGATTTAGGATTATTCCACTTGTTAATGCATAACTTGTTAACAAATGTAAATATGTGAGTGCATATTTGTTACACCGATGCATCGTTGGCACAGTGGTAGGATGCTTGCCGACCACGCCTCATGTGGTCTAGGGCTCGGTCCCGACGCACTCCTTTACCTCGTTAAGCCAGTAGTAAGACAGATAAAGAAGGAAGGTTGGGGATGAGGCTAGCAACCATTCATCCTCTAAAAATAATCACCACTGCTACAGAAACTTCAAGTCTGTAGCTTGAAGGTGCCCTATATGTTATACTGGGAACGTGAAGGAATAAACCAAAAAATATGCGTTACATCTATTTAGAATTAGTTGATGTTTTCAAAAAGTTATTATTTTATCTGCTTTGCTTACTTACAACGAAACTTTTTAACATTGGAAAACATTTGACCAACCGAGGCACTGAGATTATAGCATAATCTAAATCAGGAAATTGACTAAACAGTAGCGGTAACATGTCCATATATCTGAAGAATTAGAACAAAGAGAAAGTATATGAGAGAAAAAAAGAGACTTTTGAATCCGTTCTCAGCTCAATTTTATATAGCATATTTAATCACTTGTTTTTAATTGAGGATGTAACATGCACATGATACAAAGTTATTATTATTATTATTTGCATAGGAATGCTGACTAATCACACAAGTGATCCTGTTATGTACTCGTCGAGTAGTTAATACTCCTGACGCGGAAAGAGGGAAATCAGAAGACCACAGGGTTTACGATGATACTTGTATTTTCCAGATGAGGAAAATAAATGTCACACAATAGTGTGAGTGGAAGGGTACTTAGATGTACGAACGTGTGTGTGAACAAGAATAAGTACAAAAGTATATACGAAAATGGCTAATACACATGAACCAATAAATAGCCAGTCTTAACATGATTGGTTGTAATGTCATGTGACAACAAGGTCATGGATTGTTTATTTAGTTAGTGGACAGACAAAAGCATATTGTCAGTTAAGATGGAATATCGATCCATATACACATAGCAAAATATAATAGACTGTCAAAAACAAAACACACACATCATGTGGATACATATCAGATCCGGAGGTAGATTCACGGTCGAACCCTCTCTTATACCTTATTCAACCAGCAGTAATCCCGGTAAAGTGAGAAGGTTAGAAAAAAAAGGCTAGCAACCCCATCCTGTAAAACATAAATTCGACTGCTATTAAACCTTCAGATATCAAGCCTGAAGCTCTATATTCCACCTGGATTATGAATAAGTAAATAGCTAAGGAATGATCTTCACTAGATCACTGAGTTCCGCCCGTAAGAATCAGATAGGATGGGAAGATTTGTAGCTCAGGTGGAGGATTTTGATGTGGTTGTGTTCTCCTAACTGGATAGTTAATTTGCGAAGCTTTCATCACATGACATCTTCAGCGCATACTTCAATTTGTTGAAGTGAGCTTTTAGATTTCTCCACAAGTTTATTTGTCATCTCTCCTGGTGACCTTCAACGTCGTGATTGGTTGCTTTTGTGTGTTTTCACATACTCTAGGCTGTGATGGACTGGATGTCATGTCTTTCGACAGCTACCTTATGTTCTTGGATATAAGATCATCGCAGAAATAACTGCAAGAGTCCTCAGGTCTTTAGGAATTGACGTCGTACACAAACCAACAAAATCACTTCACTCAATTCTATGTCAACCAAAAGACTCAACAACGAAAAAAGATAAAACCAACATCATCTACGAAATAAATTGTAACAACTGCGAAAAACACTACATTGGCCAAAGTGGAGGTTCCCTAAGTCTTCGTATCCACGAACATAAGCTAGCCGTCAAAAGGCATGACATCCAGTCCATTACTCATATCACTAAATACAGACAACCACAGAAATCAATTCGACTGGGACAAGCAACGTTCAAACATTAGACAGAGGAAACAACCAGAATGCTAGAGAATTCGTAGAAGGCTGCCTGGTATTCCAGTGAATCGTCAATCAATAGACACATTGAAATAGACAAAATTTATCAACCGATAAGAAAGAAACCTCACACACAAATGGTCAAAGTTCACATCAAGGAAACAATCAGTTCCAATACAAGTAGCCATCTAGAGGGTGTGAAAACACACAAAAGCAACCAATCACGACGTTGAAGGTCACCAGGAGAGTTGACTTATAAACTCGCGGAGCAATCTAAAAGCTCACTTCAACAAATTGAAGAATGCGCTGAAGATGTCGCCCAGTAGGGTGATGAAAGCTTCGCAAATTAACTATCCAGCTCAGAGAACACAACCCCATCAGGATCATTGAGTTCACTAGTCATTGTATACGAAACTAATCACTAAATTATATTCAACATAAATTTTAACTCTTATCCAATGGCAACAACCTACTGCCAGTTAATGTACAGCAGATAATTCACCAATATATACTATATTCATAAAAAATGACATGACTACCTTCTGTAAAACTGACCGAAGTATACAGGATTCTAAAGTCTAGTTATTTTCAAAGCTTAGTGAAAAGAAAGTTATGGCCCACAATAAAGTGTGTGCAAATTAGAATTCAAGTTCATTTCAAGTTTGGTGACGCATTGATGTCAGTTAGGGAACCATCGAAAACCAACCAGGTAGTAGTGGATAGCTTTTTTGTCCAACTGTGGGACTCTTCATCAGTGTGCACCCACCGGAGTTCAAACCCAAGACCTATGAATTGCGAGATTAAGCATTGTACCGATAGGACTCGATTTATTGGTCCATGAATTCCAATTTCTACCAAATGGCGCCACTACCAGCCAGTGTTATCGGAGAGTATTTGTCCTCTTGCTCAATCCGGCGGATCCCACCGGTCACGACTTCCTCTTATACCTTCAGGCATCTTCGGCCTGGGCGAGCTCCACATTAATTTCCACGAGTTAGTTTGTAGTTTGTCCTCCAGTTACTGGCTACAAGATAAAGTTGTAAGAAGTTCTATTGAGACATCATGACCAGTGTGTTCCACTAGATCAGGTGTAATGGCAAATACTCGCCAATAACATTAGCTGGTAGTGGCGCTAAAATTACCAACTGGTCAAAATTGGGATTCATGGGCGTTTCAGTCGAGTCCCATCAGTACAGTGCTGGATCTAGCAATCCGTAGGTCCCGGGTTTGAACTCCGGTGGGTGGGCAACACTGGAGAGACCCACAGTTGGACGAAACAGCTATCCAGTACTACCTGGTTGGTTTTTGATGATTCTGTAACTGATATCAATCCGTGACCAAACTTCAAAATAAATCAAATCCCTACAAGTCAACTCATGAAAACTAAAGTTTATTTGCGGAAGTAGAAGCAAATATTTGTCATGAGGATCACTAATCGTATGTTAAATTACATAGCTTAAAGTTGTATCTGCCGGAAGTATTTAAAATCAGTATTGTGTCACTAGAAAGATTTTAGCTGGCTTCGTAGCATGTCATAGAGTTGTTAAAAAAGCGATGGTGGGCTTACGCGGGCTTACGGTCAGTACCTCTCAAACATCTCAGCTGGTTCTTTCAAAGTGATTTACAAAGTCAACAGAAACCTACCAAAAGCAGTATGTTTCCGACTTCTTTATACTGCAGAAGATCTCGCAATATGCATTGAGAAGCCGGAACTGTGTGTTCAAAAGAAATTAGTCCAACCTTACAACTACCTATGGACCTAGTTTGGTATGTTCCCTCTGCTTCCTTTTTTCCTCTTCTTCTTCTTCTTTGTTCTCTTTTTTATTTTGAGCATTTTTTCGTTCTCTGTGTGTCTGATCCTTAGTCCCTCAGTCATCATTAGATTCACTTAGTTTTTTTCAGTTATTTTAAGTTTGTTTCCATGCTTTTCCTGTTCACATTTATAATTCGTTTAAAATAACTATTTTACAATTATATCTTAATCCTGTGCAATTTTTGTGTTCCTAAGTCTCTTGTAATTTAGATTCACACCTACCAACTTTCATTTCAAGCTCAAATTATTATTTCAAATTTTCAGTCATAAAACTAGTTATTTTAAGTTTGTTTCTATGCTCCTCCTGATCACACTTGTAATCCGTTTAGAATAACAATATTACGATTACGTTCTAATCCTGTATAATTTTTTGTTTCTATGCCTCTTGTAATCTATATCACACCTTCTAACTAACATTTCAAGTTGAAAATTTGATTTCAATTTGTTTCCATGCTCATTTTTGTTCACACCTGTAATTCGTTCTATCCTGCATCTCTAAGCCCTTTTGTAGTTCTTATCAAGTTGAAAACAATTATCACCTTTGATTCGCCTTTAAAATTATTTCTCCAGTTATCAAATATTTATTTTTTGCATACGTTGTAACTATTTTCTAATCCTATGAAATCTTGTCTCTAAGCCCCTTGTAATCCACATTCATCACACCTTCAAACTTTCATATCAGGCTGAAACATCTTATTATCTCCTTCGTTACTATATGGAATTAAACAAATAGTAATTACGCCAATTTTACTACAAGTTAATCGATAGGTCTTTCATTGTGCGTTAACCATTGGTTTTTGTCTTCTTTCTTACTAGCTTTTACGCTGACACACTGTTATGAAATACTGCAATTAAGACTGAAATTATACCTAGTCATTCAGTGTGTAGATTCGATCACGAGTTGATCTCAGTTGAAGAACGATTGGAAAACCAACCAGTGAGCACTGGATGGTTGCCTGTCCTAGTTTAAGGCTCTTCAGTTGTACAAAGCCGGGACTTTCTGATTGCAAGACGACCTAGTGGACTATTCAACCGATTGGACCTGAAATTGGCCTTGAAATTGAAGGACCGTGGGTTCTTACCCCCTCCCATTGGGTGCATTCTGACAAACAGCCACAAACTAGGATGAAACAGCTGGTTTCCGCATGGTTCCCTCACTGATATCAACCCATGAGCAAATCTGCAACTAATCAAACCACTGAAAAAAATTTGATGTTTTTCTACGCAGTCCACAGTTTTCAGATCAGTATTCAACCAAGTGGTTGACTGCATTCTTAACTATATTCACATGCATAATGATACAAAGTTATTGTTTCAGTGGTTGGTGCGAGTTGCTAAAAGAAACAGTGAGCACAACATCTTTTAATATGCTTACCTAGACTCATATTCTGGTTTCATAATAAAACATTGTATAGCAAATGCATTAGGTTTTGTAAAATCTGTTAACTTTAACTTGGTTGTATCATTCATTGTTCTATTTTCAAGTAGAAGTCTTTTTGTCCAGTGACACTTTTGCTTTTTCCGTTCGTTGAATTATAATGATCATAATGTGATTGATTAAATTCTAACGAATTGATTTGTTCCTCAGTGCTTGTATAACTTGCTGATGTATGACCTGTCAGTTCAATCAAATATGTGTATATATGTACATATATATACAAGGTACATTTACAGAATCTAAAAGTTTCACGAAACTCATTCTCTGCGTATTTTTCTGTACGATACAGTATATACATCTTTAGATTTCCTAACTGCATTAGTACAAATCTCCATTTAGACATTCAGACGACCAAAGAATGAGCGAAGAAGTATTTACCTCTCAGTTCGATTCTTGTCCAGGGTTCTACCCAAACATAGTAAGCATTTATAATAGAATACAAAATTTACCAATCCAGTGGCAATAAGTTTGTCTGACAATAACTAAACAAAAACAACATATCAGGGAGGTGATAAATAATATGAATGTAAAACGTGGGCACCGTTGTAGAGTGTAACTCTATAATAGAAAAGATTTTATTCTGATAAATCACACAGTGTTATACGGTAATACTAACTGGTGACCATGTTTCGAGCACAAATTATTACTGCTTATAAACACATGAAGTCAGTCACATAGCGTTTTACTTCATTTGTATTATTTTAAACCGTTAGAAAGTATAAACCATTGCAAAAATTGAATAAACGCACTGTATAGCGGATAATTTGGGGTAAAATTAATTAATTTCTGGTACTTACAAGTTAGGTACAGTATTGATTTATTAGCAAAGTAATTTTCATTGAAAAACCCTACCTGCTTTATTTAGTTCATTATCATTCCTTGAAGTGACATTTTCATTTAACGGCAGTAACATATTTTCAGCAGGACCGTCACACTTCACTAGTCCATTGAATACATCCAAATCATAATGTTCATTCAAGCTTTTAATATTCACATCTCTCGTTGCGCTTATAAATCCAACAGCTCTACGATCACTCTAGGACTTATGCTGAAATTTAACTATCAACATACCTCTACAACAATACATTTGAGTTCATCACTTTGAGCCTCAATCAACTCCGAAAGGTAGTAACTTCCATACACCTTGCGAAGAAGGTCTGAGTGGGCATTTATCATAGGCGTCAGGTCATCTGTGTCTTCAACACTTAAAAGTAATTTTCATATATTCATCTTACGTGGCTGGACGACAGAAAAGAACAGGAGAGATATCATGTCGGTAGACGCAAAATACATCGTTTGATGAGCGCTGCTCTTCTGAATTTTATGAAATGGTGGAGAGTGTACGCACTCTTCCTTGAGAAATTAACATTTTATTATTCAAGAACAATTTACTAAGATTGTAGTCACTTTCTAGCAACAAAAATATGTGGTGAACTGAATGGCTATGTTAAAAGCAGATTTCAGCATCTGACATAAAGCCATCTTTTCATTTGCTGAATCCAAGACAAGCAAGTGCACAAAAAGGGAGTTTGTATTTGTCACATTGTTAATGCGGTATTTAGTACTAAAAATTGAAATCCAATCATCCTGTGGAAATTCTTCACCGTTTGGATAGTCATAAAAACAAGCATGTCCAGCCAAAACTCCCTCACTGTCAGTTATACACAAAGAGAATGTTGACCTCTCGCTACATAAAAGTTGGTGTGTCATAAAAACTATTCATTTACATAAGCTTGACCAGACTTATTTTACCGAATCCCTTCAAATTAACTCTGTCCTTCAGTTCCTCAATTTGCTTCACATCCGTCAAGTTAGTTCTCCTTATTTCGAACAGCTCATCAATCCTTTGCATGTTCAAAAGTCTTCCGAAATGTTTCCATAAGCAACGACAACTAAAACACTCAGTGATGTTCAATGCCAAATAAAGCAGGTGACACAGCAAGGAATGTTGCTTTCTTACTTTCCGTCCTTAAAGACTCATCAATCTGAAAGTTTTTAATGCAGACTGACTTCTTTTGCGATGAATTTAGAGGCTGATCTTCAACTATAAATTAAGTGGGCCAACACAAGAAATGAATTCTTATATTGACGATATCACTCAATATCGTTTTTAAGAGGTAGTATAAGTCAATTTCATTTCTTTGTTCCACTTCTTGACTGCGAGGTATAGGTTCCTGGTCTCCAACAAACTTCTTAGTAGTTTGTCCCGCAACGCAGATTTCATAGCTTCGGTCGACTCCAAAAGGAATAGCGCTGGGATTAATTATATGTTCTTTGTAGTATGCGATGTGTTAGACTTTATTACTACTGTGCATATAGTTGGTCGTTTCACCATTTAATCCTCCGGTATCGTAGTGAAAAGATAGGAGATAATGGCAATGATGACATAATTAGTGTAGGTTATTCAGATTAAAAGACAAAAAAGAAATAAAGAAAACGTAAAAACAGACAGCCAATCAAATTTGAAGTTGAAGTATATACATAAATATATGTGTAGATAATATCAGTAATAATAATAAGCATAGTAGCTGGAGCTGTCAGGAGAGTAAGACGGGATGGAATGTGAAGAAGTAAAACGACGAATTTAATTTTCTACCTATGAAAGGTGTGTGGGATTTTAGGGGGATAGTCAATTTGCATGCAGCCCTTGTGTCACTGCAGGATTATCCAGCCTTCGCCCAAAGGTGTCCACAGACGGTGCCGTAGCTACATCTACGGTAAGGAGTTCTATGGAAAGGCAAGTCCTCAGTAAGAAGAAGTGGGAGCGCACCTGAGCATTGCCCTCCGGTGAGCCATTCTTCTGGGTTTCCACGAGGGAGCCTATACCTACTCTGTGTCGAACCCCTTTGTTCCAGTAATTCTGGTTGCTTTTACCCTGTAGGCAGTAACAGAGTCCTCATAAGCCGACTGTAGCTAAGTGTAAATGGGCCTAATTTCTTTAGCCTTCCATGATACGGTTTATTTCGCAGAACAACCACTCCTTTTATCACTCATCTTTGAACTCTTTCCAGGAAGTTGGCGTCCCTCATAGACAGCGAGGGTGCAATGATTTTATGCACTTCAAGGTTTGGTCTGATGTACGTTTTGTACAAACTTAGAAAGAGCTGATGAGTGAGTGCACCTAACTGTCTATGTGCAAAGTGTATGACTGCATATGCCCTCGCTGAATCCGCTGTGTAATTTACGCTGGTGTCTGCTTTTGCATTAGAGCAAGACCTAAGTCCCTCTCTAACGTCGTGCAGGACAAGCTTTCATAGCACAGGGTGTAACCTGCATTCTGCAGCCTACAGGTACATAACTTCACTAGTCTGACCTTTTTAAGGTTGAAAGTCATGCCACTGGCCGCCGCCTAGTCTTCCAGATGCTTTAGATCTGCCACCAGCCTCTCTGAGTCGTCCAAACAACTTTTTCCTCTCCATGTCTTTGCGTCGCTAGTGTTTAGAAGAGTCAGGCAGCTTAGATTGCATGGAAGATCATTCATAAAAATCAAAAACATCAGTTGTCCTAGGATAAACCCCTGCGACACTGCTGATGACGAGCCGTTCCAGGACGATCGAATCGATCGACCTTGGTGTGCTTTTTCCTTTCAGCTAGGTGGTCCTTCAACCATAACAGAAGCGGCTTACTTATGCCAACCTGACTTATTTTGTGTAGGAGGAGGCTATGGTGAACTGTGTCAAATGCCTTCTCAAAGTCTAGAAAGACCACATGGACTGGAACGTTCATATCCCAGCATGATGTCCAATCGTCCCAACCCGATAGTAGGTCTGCTACATAGTATCTGCCTTTCCTGAAACCGTGTTGGGCTTCATGGAGTATGTCAGACCTTTCGAGGTATTTCCTGATGTGATCGTCAATAATACTTTCCAGTACCTTTGATACCACTGGGAGTAGAGCTACTGATCTATAACTAGTGGCATTTTGCCTATCCCCACCCTGAAGATTGGGGAAAGGATGGCTCTTTTCTACTCCCTTGGCAGTTTCCCCGAATCCATGGAGCGTTGGAACAAGTCGATAATGGCCTACAGAGAGCTCCGTAGCACTGTTTCAGAACAGATGGCCTGATGTCGCCATAACCTGGGGACTCTCCAGGTTTGATTCTCTGTAGCCTCCGTAACACTATTGTCGGGCTTATCTGGGGAGAACCCATTAGGTTTCCCTCTGGTGCAATAGTAGTGCCGCCATTTTGGTCCGTACCGGTAATGCCTACATTGCTGTTCAACTCTTTGGTGAGGGCTAAACCGAATGTTTCCGACATCCCTAGACTAGTGAGGTATTGACCGTTTGAACCTACTAAGGCACATGCCCCCTGGTTGGTTTATTTTCTTTCCGACATGAGTCGATACAAGCTTCTGGGTTCGCCAGAGCTCTTAAGCAGGGTTAACCAGAAGTGCCTCCTGTGACTCCTCACTCTCAGAACGTACCACATTCTAGGTTCCAGGTATGCGTAGTGGTCGGTCTAACTCTTGGATACTAGCCACGTAAAGCACGCCTTCCGCTTTGCTTATAGAATACGTTGTGTACCTCTCTTCAACCATGATGACCATTTTGGGCTGTGTTATGACTAAAGGATGGTATCCAAGATTGCAGTGCGAATGATCCCTTTTAACACTTCCCAGTGTTCATCCACAGATAACTCACCCCATGCTAGGGGCCATTCCACGTCGGACAAAATTCTCTGCATTTCAGCATAGTCCACCTTGCTATAGCACAGGCATAGTCATTTAACGTTGCACTGGGAGTGCTCACGGAGAACAAGGGCCAATCCTATGACTACATAGTCACTACTTTCCCAGTGGGGTCATGATGTGCACCTTTTTGACTGGCAGTTGGTTACTGATTGGAATATGATCTAGTTTCAACAACTTTACACTACGGCCCCACTCAGTGTTGTCTCCAGCACTCTCAGTCAGTCCTGTTTTAAATGGTTTGTAGTAGATTTCGACCGAATTTCCCTAGGCGTACCCCGGGAAAAGGTTTAGTTATGGGGCAAAAAGGTGCGTCGGTGGCGTAGTGGTTAGGACTCTCGCCAACCATGCACATCGGCCGGGGTTCGAGCCCACGCCGACGCACACCTGATACTATGGCCGGCCTGCAAAATTCGGGCTACCGATATCCATAATGAAAATTTCACACTTGTACCAAAAATACGGTGTGGAATCAAGCTGTAACAAAAAATAAAATAAATAAATCTCCAGCCATGGTGATTTGGTCATATCTAAAGTCCCATATCACTGTGGGGCTGAACAGTAGCTGGTTGTGCTCTGCCCCACAGGTGGGTGATCGGTAGATGCTACCCAGTAAGTGCTTGGTGTGGCCTACTCTGAAGTGGGACCATATAGATTCTGGGAGTTCAACCAATGGTGAATCCACTGCACGCACACATTTAAGTTGTTTGTCAAAGTACGTGGCAACTCCACCCCCCTTGTTATCCCTGTCCCTCCTGACCAGAACCCTATCAATTATACTGATATTGTTGTCGGAGATAGTGGGGGTCAGCCAAGATTCAGTGAGGATTATTGTTCTGAGGTCTAGATGTGACTGGAGGTTTCTGAGTTCACCTGCTTTCTCTTAGTGGAGACAGTAACGGGATTTTCGGATCCGAAAACTTGTTTCGTCTTAAAAGTGGTACAATAACAGAAACTTATGAGGCAGAGTGCCCTGTAAATGATATGGATTTGAGACTGCATCACCAACAAAGTACATCGCACTTTGCCCCCTTGGATAAACCGAGAGATTCGTAAGTTGTTCAGACGTAAACACAAATGTTGGAACCTGTTTGCCACGCTTGAGACTTCTGAGACCAGGAAATTATATAACACCTCTAGAAATAAAGCTATTGCAGAAATCCGCCAATCAAGGATGAAGTTCGAAGCACATCTGGCTCAAAATGCAAAGGCACAACCTAAGAAAATTTTCTCGTACATGAACTTCAGGAATGAAACATCCAGTGGTGTCCCAAACCTGACTATTGATACAATCGGAGAAGATCAAGAAAAAGCAGGAGCAACGGCAGACTACTTCTCCCAAGTCTTCACTCAGGACTCATCACTCCCTATAGGATCAGCTCTGGTTGCATCAGAAGAACATGGGATAGATTCCGTTGACATCGATTAGGGCATCGTGCTCAACTGCCTAATGAAACTGGATGCAGGTAAATCAATGGGTCCTGGTAATCTTCATCGAAGGCTTCTCAAGGAGTTATCAGCTAACATAAGCGGTCATTTGACCACGATCTTCAAGGTATCTCTCCTAAATGGAGTGTTACCGCGTGACTGGAAAGACGCCATGGTAACCTCCATCCACAAAGGAGGATCAAGACAAAGCCCTTCAAATTACAGGTCTATCAGTCGCACCAGCACTTTAATCAAGACACTGGAAAGAATCATCAAGAAAAGCATCATGACATTTCTGGAAAACACCAGCTTGTTATCTAGAGCACAGCATGGCTTCCAGACGAAACTTTTATGCCTGTCAAACCTCTTCACTGCAAGATAAAGCTGGGTCAAATCAAAGAACAACAGAAGACCCGTTGACTTCTTCATAGACTTCAGTAAAGCCTTTGATAAAATACCTCACAAAAGACTACTCATGAAGTTGGAAAGTTTTAGTATCAAAGGCAGATTACTAAACTGGCTCAGGAAATTCATCACAGATAGGAGGCTGGGGGTTAGGATCAAATCGAAACTCTCCTCCTGGACTGCAGTGCTACAGGGCAAGGTACTCGGGCCTCTCCTGTTTATATTCTATATCAATGAGTTATCTCTGCTCACCAACTCCCCTATGGTCCTATACGCAGATGACTTAAAAATGTGGAGAGAGCTGAAGGACAACAGTGATACGTTTACGTTG